CCCCCCCCCCCCCCCCCCCCGGCTGGCGGAGAAAGCATACTTGTTGCATTAGATGGATGATGATGATAGATGAGAGATGTATTATGACACTTGCATGGATGGTCATGGACCTGAGGGCCAGCCACGAAGGAGCATTTCCCATTGTGTTCGGAGCCGATCATTTCCAGCGCTCTCACTGGAACTAGGAGGTAGGTAGGCACCTTATCTTACACGCACTGCATTAGTAACTCAGGACAAGCTTGTCATAAGTCGCTTGGCAAGGAGGAAGAAGACGTGAAGTGGTCCTTTCATGTCCACTTCAGCATTTTCTTTACGGCGTAAAGTTTGTGGCAATGTAAAGCATAATTCCAGCATAACCTGGTCAGTCGGTGCAGAACACAAAGTACCTGCTAGTAGCAGTAGTGTCAGAGATCTTCATGAGACCCCATCGGTGACGAGACGACGGCGTTTGGTCCCTTGCCTGCCGCACACGTTCTTGACAGCTTGAAGCCTGCATCAGTGCATGTGAAAGTCCTGTTGTTGTTGCTGTTGTTGTTTGTTGTTGTGTTGTTGTTGCTTAGGTTGTTGCTCGTTTGCTTGGTCCATCTTGGGAGCATCAGCCAACTAACCAATAGAATAGTCGCACCGTCCCACGATGGCAATAATGGTTCGGCTCCTGTCGTCGTGTAGGAGGTAGAGGGCGAGGTTCTATGGCTGGGGGCTCAGTCTATGTTACGCGCGTTATTCCGGTCCCGAAGGCGTGAGATGGCTGCAGTGGTACAGAGGCACACCACTGCAAGGCACATGCAAGGTGTGTGTGGTCTCATGTCTCGGTTGCACAGAAGAGATTGAATGTCGGTCATCCCATCATCCTCATCATCCTCAATCATTCACCAGGCTGTTGGGGGCGTTTAGGGTGTCAAGGTTGGCGCACCGCACTACGGACTGTCATCTGCCTTGCCATTTCCAGGCCAGGTTGTCGAGGTACATGAGGTTGTCAAAGATGTCACGGTTGTTGCAACTTGCAGGAGAAGTTCGGCAAAATTTCCATGACAGGTCCTAGTAGGTGTAGGGCAGGGCAAGGTAGGTCACTGAGTGTCAGGGACTGTCAGGCAGGTGTGAGCCGCGATGACGCTGGCGTGATTACATTGGCAGGAGCCGTGGGAGAGCGAGGAAAGAGCGTGGGACGGGCAGGTGGTCGCCAGGTACAGGTACTGCCGTACAGTGTATACCAGGCACATGTAGGTAGGTTGGTACCTACAGGTATGTAGCTGTAGTGTATACAATGTGTGTAAACGGTGTTTCTCCTCGGTGGAATGGGAAAATAGAATCTGGTCTCGACCCTTCTGAGACGTGCACGGCGAAGTGCTGCCGTCGCAGTCTCAGATACCGGAGGGGAAAAGCAGCTTAACCTGATTGGGGCAACGAAGCTGTGAACTTTGAAGCCTCAGGCCTGAAACTGCTGTTCTCACGTTTCCATAATTTCCTTTGGACTGGTCGGAAAGTCGGAAAGGGCGTGAGGGCGTGTGGGCGTGCGTTGGAGTGCGGGCGGAGAGAAGACGGCTTGGCGGCGGTGGCGTGCGGGCTGCTGATTCGTTTCCTGCTCGTGAGGCATTAGGGGCCTGTTCAAGTCAATTGAAGTGTTACGGAGAGAGGTGGGAGGTTGTTCAGGGCAGCAGCCTCAGCAGCCTCAGCAGCAGGTTGTTGAAGGAAGAAACCGCTGCAGCTTACCTCCGACACAATTCTACCTACCTACCCACCTACCTACCTTACCTTACCTACCACCTCCTACCTACCTACCTACAGCTCAGCTCAGCTCGCCTGCCCAACTGCGAGCCTGCTACTACCTACCTGACCTTACCTCCACCTACCTGACCTGACTACTTACTAGCTAACCTTACCTCCTACCACTGTGTACCTCATCATACATCGCGTGTCCCACTGCCCGTCCGCCAGACTGCTCGATACGGTACCCTATACTCCAGTCTCCAGGTAGCACTGCGCACCGGACTGGAAACTTCCTCCATGCTCTGTGCACCACTCTCATCCCAGCAGCGGATCCATTCTTCCCTGCTCTGCGCTGCCGCACGCCGCACGGACGACAACCACCCTCGCACGCCTGGCTCTGGCCCAGCTCATCACCGGGCGCCACCGCAAACCATGTCATAAATGGAGTTGGATGGGAATCGTACAGTAATCGCCCGACCAGGACGACGACGACGACCGACGACGACGAGACGACGACGACCCTCTGTGGGCTCTGTTGTTGTTCTTGTCTCATCGGCTCCGGCTTTCGTCTCCCCCCCGCCGCCGCCTCCTGGCCTGCAGTAGCGGAACCACACAGAATAAATACGTCGCGTAGCTTCATGTGCCAGCATCATGGACGCCGACGCCAGCGCTGCGGAGCCCGCTGCCGCTGATGTTCACGATCATCACCACCTGGACCACATCCCGGCTCTCTTCACTACTGTGGCTCGGTCGGCGTCTCTGGACGAGGGTGCTACGGCAGGCACGGCGGAGGATCCGCAGATGAATTTAGTAGACTCTGCTCTACCCAATCTGCTTAACCCACAACCCAACCAGCATGCTGTCAACGCGAATAATGCCAACGCATCGTCACCGTCCTTGCCTCGCCCGCACAACACCCGATTTCAGTTGCGGTCGGTGTCTGGCCCACCCAACACCTTGATCAACAATCACAACATCAACAAAAACATCAACAACAACAACAACGCGCGCTCCAAACCCGTCCTCCTGCCCTCGCGTCCTGCCGGCACTGTCAGAGACATGGCGAGCAGGTTCGACCGGAGTGCCGTCCCGAGCCATGAGCTGCCCCCGCTGACTCTGAACTTCGCCGACCGTGACCGAGACCGACGACCCTCTATCCTACCACCCGGGAAGACGACGCCCAGATCTCCTGTCAGTGCATCGAGCGGAGAGGGCAAGGAACGGGTGAAATTGCAGAAGAAGCGGCCGGCCCACGCCCACAAGGCACCGACCAAGTCGCCGGCGGAGGCCCCGTGCGAGGCAAACAGCTCCTTCTCCTCACTCTCCACGACACGAACCACGCGCAGTCAACCACACTCTGCTTTCAGTCCGAAGCAACGACCCACGTCACCGAGCAAACAGGCACGACCTCTCTTTGGCGAGATCACAGCGGATGGAAAGTGGAATGGCAACTTCGAGCTAGGACATTACGGACCGCTACCGACGTTCGAGAAGGCACCACGGCGAGGCAGTGAGAGCAGTCTGGCGCTGGGCCATGGACGTTCACAGTCCCATCAGGACATTTCTATGCCATCACTAGGCCCTCCCTCGCTGTACAAGCTCAGTCATAAGCGAAGTCGCAGTGATATGGATAGTTTGCGGCCACAAGCTGTTCCCAGCATGCCGGATCTGGGTGCTCGAATCATCCCTACCGTCTATCCAACACCACCCGACTCTGGCACGCGGACTTCGAGATCGAGACCGCCTCCGGTCACTTCGCGAATACCCATCAGTAGCCGGCGATCAACCGACTCGACTTCATCTATCAGTAACCCGCCATATTCGCGATCCGCGTCTTCCATGTCGAACCACCGCCGGAAGCCGTCCAAATCTCCTACGCGGCCTAGCACTGCTCTAGGCAAAGAGAACAATGCACCCGCTGCTCGAAGCCGTTACGTCCCATCGCCTCTGCCCACCACGACCTCGAGACAAACCCTTTCCGCCAAGATCGTCGCACCTCTCCCGACCTCTCCGCCGCTCCGATCATCACGGCCTAGGCAGCCCGTGAGCGCAGCGACCACCTCCGCGAGCCGCGCTCGAGCTGCAGAACGATTCGTCAATCCCAATGCGAATACTAGAGATACGAGGCGACCCAGTGAACAATGGCTCGGAAAACCATACGATGCTCAGCAAGTGCGATCGCGAAGGAAAATTCCAGAGCTGGACAAGGTGGACTTTGCAGAGCGCAGAGCGAGGATACAAAAGGCCATTACGGCGAGCTTGAATTCCAACGATTCCCATGACAATATGCAGAGCTCTTCCCGTAGTCAGTCTCGGGGACAGACACGGAGTACTTCTCGAACGCATGTACGGCCGGCAGGAAGTGCACCCGAAGCTGTGTCTGGTGCAGAGAGACGTCAATTATCGAATAATGGCGTTGCAGATGGCGTTACGAATGGGCACATTCGCGGTTTAAGCGTGGAGACCGCCGATGTACTAGCACCATCTAGCACAGAGCCTGTCACTGCGCAGACAGAAAAGACCATGTTCGAGGAGGAAAGCCCGGTTCTGGGACGGCTCGCTACGGATACCGACTCAGCTCAACCACAACCACAATCACCAATGCAAACAAAAATAACTCCGGTCTTGCTTGCACCTGCGTTCTACGAACCACTCAGCAGACCTGCAGCTCCGCCGGGTGCTATCGACATTGTTCAGGATGCGCCTTCGGATGCTGTGCATAGTCCGAGTGTACTCGACAATATCATGCGAATGCGAGAGCGCAGTGGATCCGATGCGAGTGGAGCGGGCACTGAGTTTGCGGACGATAGCCCGTCCGCGCAAGACAGCGCCAGTGAGGCAGACGAGAAGTGGGGACTTGGCAACGGTCCAGGTGCCGATCAAGGCTCGATACGTATTATGCTCGATGAGGAACCAAATTTCAATAAACATTTGGGGTCATGGCCGAAAGATGTGGAAAACGCACGCGATTCCCACACGGAGGACGACGACGTCCTCCGCACGCATGCTTACAACGAGCAGGCCTTTGCTGCCATTGGATTCCAGCAATCCTCCATCGAAGATCTACACGCGTACCCGAGAGACGAGCAGGTGACCACCACTCCACGACGTCGACGCCCATCGCGAGATGATCCTCTTCAGCCTGCTGCTCTGCATCCAGACACGGCAGCTCTAGTTTCTGAGCAGGACACCACAGGCTCGGATGGCACAATTGCTCGTGTTCTGGAGTACTACCACAATACGGGCTCGCTCACTCCAGACATGTTACAAGAAATGCAGCACCGTATGGTCGATCTGCATCGCATATCTGCCAATGGCGGATCCAATGGGATCATGATACAAAGTTTGCTGGACAGCATCATGGAAAGCCAGTCGCCTGAGCAGCAGCGTACCCCAGAAAAGCAGATGCTGCAGCCGGCTACCTATGAGATGCCACTCATCACTCCCGACACCCCACCGATGGCCGACGGGTTCGTGCCGGGCACAGTCATTCTCTTTGGCAACGAGGCGCAGACACAGGAGGAGGATGACTTTGCGGCCACGATCCGCAAGGCGGATGAAGCCTGGGAGCGACAGCGACGAGGTGAGGATCCATTCGCGCCTGAAGACGACGCCGTCGACGACGAGGATAAGCCTCTGCCTCCGCCAAAGGACTTTGGCTATACACCTCGGTCCAGCATCGGCCCAGGTAGTGGGGCTTTCACCCCCAATGCATCGGAATCTGGGCTCAGGTTGTCCACGATATCGATTGGGGGAGGAGATCTCGACTTGCACGACATTCATGCAGCGGGCGATCGTGCCAACCTCAGATCGTCCGTACAGGATGTGGCATCTCCAGATTCTGCGATTGCGCCTCCTCTACCTCCTCATTCACCCCCGCCTGTGCCGGCAAGCACAGCACTCAAGCCCTCTTCGTTACCGGATGTGACTGCAGCAACAAAGTACACTCCCGAGAGAGCCTCCAGTGAGCTATCACCTCGATTTCGTAAAAGCGCGTGGGGTCAGTCTAGCTCCAGACCCCCTTCGTCAAGACCTTCGATGGACAGTCAACGATACCCTGCCGGAGTTCCAGGATCTCAATCGTTGACATCTTTCTCCGAGTCCACCAGGATAGGCTCCATAGACACGGGGGCTGATAGTTCGGCGAAGCTGCCGAAGAGCGCATCACCAGGCCCCGAACAGAAGCGTCTGCTCCGGCGTCGGCACATCATCAAGGAGCTGCTTGACACCGAGAACTCTTATCATCAGGATCTGAAAATTATTGAGGACATCTACAAGGCCACTTGCACGCCGGAGCTCGTGCTGCCCGAAGATAAGAAAGTCCTGTTTGGCAACTGCGACGAGGTGGAGAGGTTCGCTCTGCATTTCTACGATGAAATGCGCAAAGCTGCATCGCAGGTGTACACTCCTCCCAAGCAGCACCGATGGATGAACAAGCGTTCAAGCTTCTCCACCACGCAAAGCGACGGCACACCCAATAGCTTCGCGGAGCCTGTGGACAATGAAAAGGACCAGACTACGACCATTGGGCGCGCATTCTTGATGAACATGTCGAGAATGGAGGAAGTGTATGGAACGTATCTCAAGAACCATGATGCGGCCAACCAGCGGCTGTCGGCGGTGCAAAGCACGACTACTGTGAAATGCTGGCTGGATGAATGCCATGCTAATGCTAGCGACATCACATCTGCCTGGGATCTGGATTCGTTGCTCGTCAAGCCCACGCAACGTGTGGCCAAGTATCCGATGCTCCTGCAGCAACTCCTGGAAGTCACGCCTGTTGGACATCCTGATCACCTGGATTTGAAAGTTGCGTCCAGAGACTCGATCGCCATGTTGACACGAATCAACGATGCGAAGAAGCGTGCTGATCTGGTTGACCAGATTATCAATCCAGGAAAGCGGAAAGAAGTGGATATACGACACGGCCTCGCCAAAGCATTCGGGCGCCGCACTGAAAAGCTCAAGGAGCGTGTCGGTATCGCGGAGGCGTTTCAAGATCCCGCATTCGACGATCTTGCACACAAATTTGGAGGCCACTTCATTCGACTCCAGATATGTATGAGGGATGTTCAGGACTACATGCATCGGACCGACAAGGCTATTGAGCTGATTAACAACTACGCAAATGCGCTGGAGCTGTTCACTGACGTATCACCGAGCTCGCTGCCGGAGGTCGAGAGCAAGTTCCGCAAATACGGCCAGGTGATCCGAGACCTGACTCTCATCGCGTTTGGAGAGCACAAAGCCGACGTGCAGAAGCGGGTCCTTGCACCCATGATTCAATGTATCAAGCTGCACGAAGGACCGCAGAACGCAATCAACAAACGCAAGAAGAAAATTGTAGATTATGCCAAATGCAAGTCGGATGAACGGCGGGGCCAGAAGCCTGATAAGAAGACCATGGAAGCCTCTGACATCTACCTTGCGCTCAACGAACAGCTCAAGATCGATCTGCCGAGACTGTATCAGTTGACTGCCCAGTTGGTTCAGAATTGTCTCCACTGCTTCATTGACATTCAAATGAAGTGGCAGAGTACATGGGAGAGGAAGCTGAAGCCGTTGCTGGAAGCTGCCGACATCCCCAGTACCGTGCAGCAGATTGAGCCTGCATTCCTGCCTGACTTTGCCGAGATTGAGAAGAGGATCAACCAGCTATCGATCTGTAACGGTACGCTCAAGACCGAAGCAGCGAACTTCCTCTCTCCGCAAACCACGCTGGTCGACCCATCGGAAACAGCGGCAAGCACTAGGCGGCCATCGACTCTCGACGGCTCCAAGCGTACTCCGTCTATTGGTAGCGAATCATCCTCTGCGGGCCCCAATCACAGACGTCACAGTGGTATTCATTCTTCGCACTCGGAGATCAAACTACCCGCCGATTCGAGGGCACGCTCAAATTCTGCCCTGGCAAGTCGTCAAGCACCGACTCACACGCCTGGATCTACTTCCAACCGGCCCTGGTCGAACTCCGTTGCGAACACGCCCAACTCATCCTTCTCTGCGACGAGGCCAGCAACTTCCGACTCGCCGTCCTTTTCAAGCTACTTTCCTCGTCAGAGTAACGATGGCCAGCGTGTAAACCGACCAGCATCCGATGCTACGTATCACTCCGCTCGACCTACTCCCGCAGATGTGGAACAGCACCGGTTTTCCGGCCTGTTCAACTCTGCGTTGCCACCTGATGTCACGAGTCCGGCACAAGATGTCGTACCATCACGCACGGCGCCCGCTGATATGCCCATTTTGTTTGTGTGCGCAAGCTTGTTTGAATTCAGCATAGACAGAACGCGCAAAGAAGGCGGCTACCCCTATTTACAGTATGTGCAAGGCGAAGTTTTTGATGTCATGGCACAAAAGGGCGAGTTGTGGCTGGCGAAGAACCAGGATGATGCCAACAATGAGCTCGGTTGGATCTGGGAGCAGCACTTCATCATCCTCTCAGCGGAGAACTAGGCGTCTCTGTCGAATAAGGTACAGATGAAGAAGTGTGCACAACCATTTGTGCACACTGACACATCAACAGGACACACTTCCTTCTAATCACAGTGGACGCGTTAAGAGCGAACTGGTTTTTCTTTCGATTTGATTACTACTACCGTCTGTCCTGTATACACCTAGCGAGGGCGTTGGGCGGAAACATCTCGGTGGTGGTGGCACGCTTGACGTGCTGTGCCCATGAGCAAGCGAGGCGTTCGATTCTTGTCGAAGAGTAACAGGGGTGCTGTTGCTGATTCTACAGCTTTTTGAATAGACATATTTTTGTTGTCTGCGCTGTACCATAACTACGAAAGGACACTGTCCACATGACTTTGCAAGGTGCTGGTCGCGGGCCCTTGTGTTGATGAGATGGCAGCTGAGTGAAAGGTTCCTCGGTGATGGGCATATGTATAGTAGTAGTAGAAGAAGATGAAAACGAGGACGTATCGTGAACGCATGCCTGGTGTAGTCTCCTTCTCGTTGAACGCGTCTTTTTGCCGAGCTCACTCTGTGCTGCTGACTTTGCAGTCCCAGAGCACACGCTACGCTCACATCGACCTTAGTACGGTGATGCTCCCTTCGTGCCGCGACGGACAGTGGAAGGCCACAAGGAACCTATTCACAGTGGCCCTGGCTGATGAGTTGACCTTTCCAAACCCCCAGCTCACTAACATATGAATAATGACGACAACACGTGACTGTAAGGTAAGATAAGGTGAGGTAGAAAATAAGGATAAAATTTTGCATGCCTGGGCAGCAAGATTCAATTTTAGGTGCAACCGTACACAAGATGCGAAGTTTGAGGCCAGTACTTAGTATACTATCTAGTTAGTTAGAGTAAGGTAGACATAGAATCATACCTAGATAGCGTAGCCAAGACTACGCTAATCATTTCATTCCTCTAGCGTACAGTTTTAGTAGTTAGTGCAGTGCACTGTGCAGATAACAAGGTGGTATCGAAGGATTGAAGGATCGATATCAAGACATACATCATTTACCTTTTCCGGCGGTTTCCTGACACACACATTCCTTCACGCCATCCACAGCTTTTCGCGTTCGAAGAAAACAACAAGAGGAATAATGACCACAGCAGCAGTCTTCGGAAGCACTGGCGCTGTCGGCGGCGTCATTCTCAGCACACTTCTCGCCAGCGAGGCCTTCAGCTCCATCAAAACCATCTCGCGCCGGCTGCCCCAGGATACCTCCTCACCCAAACTCGAAGCCCTCCAAGAAGCCGACTCATCGACCTGGGGCTCCAAAATCTCCACGCTCCAACCCAAGCCCGAAACCGTCTTCAACGCGGTCGGCACGACTCGAGCGCAAGCCGGTGGTATCGCAGCGCAGAAGCTCATCGACCAGGATTTGTGCATCGCAATTGCTCAAGCTGCCAAGGAGGCCGGTGTGCAGACCTATGTCTTCATTTCGAGCGCGGGCATGCGAGGCTTCTTGGCGAGCTATTTTCCATACTCGAAGATGAAAGTTGCCGTGGAGGATGCGATTCAGGAGTTGGATTTCCCGCAGGCGATTATTGTGCGTCCGGGCATGATTCTGGCGAGGGAGAAAGCTAAGGCTCCGTTGTTAGAGGCGATTATAGGGAGACTGCACTTTCTCGGCCAGGGCGTGCAGGATCGAATTGGTATGTTTTCGAGACTTTTTACTGAAAGGTATTGACGATTTGATTGATTGATTGATTGACTGACTGGAAATGGGACGTTCAGGTCAGGATCAGAAGATTATTGGTAGAGCGGCGGTCGCTGCGGCGAAGCTTGCGCAAGAGGGCAAGGCGCCTTCGAAATATTGGGTCCTTGAGCAGGCCGATGTGGTCAGACTTGGCCGGACGGAGTGGAAGGAGTGAAGACAGTAGTTGTAGTTTTGTTCTATAGCAGATTACATGCGTTATTCGAATCACTTTTGCTTCATTCGATCTGATCCGGACTTATAGCAGTCCCGTTCAATCCATGGATGTCAGAGAAATGTTTCCAACTATGATGGCCATGTTGGCTCGAGAATCTGGAGATATCTGCAATTCAATATAGGACATGCCCATGGTGTCACTGCTGGTGAGCCGGAAGAGAGTTTAAGCTCTACTGTCGCGCCAAAGCTGCCGCCAAGAAATAGTCAACTTCGTCCATAAGGTACCGTACCTAGCTTAGCTTCTACGGTTGTACATGTTTGCGCCTGGAACACGTGAGGAAAAGATGGCAAAACGACCAGCAGAGGAATCTCTGGAGAGCACGATAGCAGGCTCGCCAGCGCCCAAGAAGGCGCGTGTCCAAGACACCCCAGACGAAGATGCACCTCCACCACCACCGCCTCCGCCAGAAGTGAGCAACGGTCATCTAAATGGCGCTGAAGGGAATGGCAACTCTCACGGTGACGAAACAGGGGAGGGTCAGGACGACGAGGATGAAGAAGAGGAGGATCGCTCAGCGAGAACGCGACAGAAAGTGCCCATGGAAGGCTATTCGGACTTATACCTCGACACGATAGCACGATCGAGGCTGGACTTCGACTTCGAAAAGCTCTGCTCCATCACACTCTCCAACATCAACGTCTACGCCTGCCTCGTATGCGGCAAGTACTTCTCGGGACGAGGCGCAAAGACGCCTGCATATTTCCACGCGCTGGAAGAAGGGCACCATGTGTACATCAACATGGAGACGAAAAAGGTCTATGTGCTGCCTGAAGGATATGAAGTCAAGAACAAGAGTTTGGATGATATCAAGGTTGTCGTGGATCCACGCTTCACGCTCGAGGAAGTCAAGGCGATGGACAGGGAGCCCAAACCGCAGTGGGATTTGCTGGGAAGGAAATACATCCCAGGCTTCGTTGGACTGAACAACATCAAGGCCAACGACTACTTGAATGTCGTGGTACAAGCTTTGTCACACGTTACGCCCTTGCGCAACTTTCTCATGCTCGAGGATTTGTCGTCGCGGCCGGAGCTGGTGAAGCGCTTCAGCGTTCTGGTCCGCAAGATGTGGAATCCCAAGGCTTTCAAAAAGCACGTCTCACCCCACGAACTGATACAGAACATCTCGCTACAATCGGGCAAGAAGTTTTCTCTTACTGAGCAAGCAGATCCAGTTGACTTCCTCAGCTGGTTTCTAAATAACCTCCATCTGGCACTAGGAGGAAGCAAAACGAAACCCAAATCTTCTATCATTCAGAAGATCTTCCAGGGGGCGCTCAAAGTGGAATCGCAAGAGATTTCAGCTCGAGCAGATGCAGGCGATCGACTTCGCTTTGAAGACACGGCCATCAAGTCGCAACAATCGCGCTACATGATCCTCACCCTCGACCTGCCAGCCGCACCACTCTTCCAAGACGACGTCGAGAAGAACATCATCCCACAAGTGCCACTGACTACAGTACTGCAAAAGTACAACGGCATCGTTGCACAGGAAAGGATGAATACAAGAGTGCGGTACAGATTATTGCATCCCTTGCCACCATACCTCATCATGCACGTCAAACGCTTTCAACCTAACAAGTTTCTACAATCACAACGGAACCCCACCATCGTCACTTTTAACCCCAGGTCGCTGGATATGGGCCCTTATGTGGAGCCGGATCCGAAACAGCATCCCATGGGCGAGCCCATCGTGTACGATTTGATTGCGAATGTCACGTACGAGGGTGTGAAAGTGCGAGACGACTCGGTCGAGGGTGAGGCAGAGCGCAAGGTATGGAAAGTGCAAGTAAAAGAAGGCGGCAACAGTAATCAGTGGTGGGAAATGCAAGATGATTTTCCGGTGGAGAAGGTGAATGCGGACCTGCTGGCTACGAAAGAGAGCTATGTTATGGTTTGGGAGAGACGAAAGGGAAAGGCGAAGGCTTGAAGAACCATGTCGGTATCTAGGCTCTTTTTCTGTACAATATGTACTCTTTGCGATGCAGTGAATCGCTTAGTACGACTCCACATGATTCTCTTCCGAATCTGCAACAATGGAAATATTGCTGTAACAACTTGCCGAGCATTGTATGCATTGCATGTCGCTGCAGGACAGAAGACGGCCAGAGCTGATACAGATATATGTATAGTGCTTGCCCAGTCTCTCAGAATCAGTAGCCAACAAAGATTGAAAATACCTCCAGGAGTATAAGCTCGGCGCCAGACGACAGAAAACAAGCCTTGTCCGGAAGACTTTTCTAAAGTGAAGATCCCCCTCATAGGAGGCCTCATAGGAGGTAGCCACATCTCAAATATTGGTATTAACCCATGATATCGTCGTTGGAGGTAGTGTCAAGTGTCGTACTTATAGTCGATCTCGAAAGCTTGACCCCAACTCCTCCTCTTCCTAATGATCAGCAGCGCTCACAGCCAATTAGGAAAGATACATGTAGACGTGGAGGTACCTCCTAGATGGTAATGTGGACCTCGGCTTCTAACGGTCAGGCACGTCATATATATAATTTGGGCAACAAATCAACGAATGCCTGATCCTTCATCTCTTGTACTTGTGAGAACCACAGATATTATACTACACGAAGAAGACGCATAGCAAGAAAGCGATAGAGAGACCGAGGGAGAAGAGAGAGAGAGAAGAAGATGGCGGACTCAAAAGGGAAGAAATTGACCCTTTATGTGGATGTCATCAGTCCTTTTGGATATATGGCGTATTGGTTGACGAGGGTATGTCATTCTCATTTCTACTACATGTGTTTATTGTTTATCAGAAGAAATGAACGAAGGGAGACACGAAGAAGAAGAAGAACACCCCTCCCCCTCTCCAATCCCCATCCCCATTCCCATCCCCATACCTTTACCTACCTATCTATCCATCCCCACCAAACTAACCATCCATCAATCTTTTTTTCTAAAAACCCAATCCAGCACTCCCCAGCATTCACCTCCATCCCAACAACCTACATCCCCATCCTCCTCGGCGGCCTCATGTCCCAAACCAAAAACTCTCCTCCTTTAACAATCACCAACAAACGAGAATGGATCGAAACCGAACGTCTCCGGACCTCCAAATCTTTGCAAATTCCCATGATGCAGACTTTTCCGGAAAAATTCCCTGTGCCCACGACGAATGTGCAGCGCTTGTTGTGTTATCTTTATCTAAAACAACAAGAACAAGAACAAAGTAATGGGAAAGAAAAGCAAAAGAAAAAAGAAAATTTCATCAAATCCCTCGACGCATTTTTTCAAGCGTGTTGGGTTCAAGGGAAAACTTCTGAGATTAATACTGAGGTGGTGATTGAAGAGATTCTTCATTCGATATTCGAAAACGATGGAGCAAAAGTTCGAGAAATTTTACAGGGAATGAATAGTGAAGCTGCGAAGACCAAGTTGAGAGAAAATACGAATGAGGCGTTTCGGTCGGGGGCGTTTGGGTTGCCGTGGTTTGTGGCGGAGAATGCAACGACTGGCGAAAGGGAGGGGTTTTGGGGAGTGGATAGTGTGGGAAAGGTGTTGGAGTGTTTGGGAGTGGAGGTGCAAGGGGAAGGGGGGAGGTATAAGACTATGTTGTGAGAGAGTAGGGAGCTTAAGGGGTTCGAGGAATGGGGAGCGAACCAGGCACAGCGCTGTCAAGGTACCTCAGTGTGAGAAATTATTAGTAAAACAAACAGAAAAGAACATGTGACAGAAGGAAATCTTTTCAACAGCACACACACGCTCATTCTTCATCCGAAATCTATTATTAAAGTGCTCAAAACGCCCCAGCACCACCTATTAAGACGCCATCTATGCATCCATGCACAGCGATATTGTCGCCACGTCATGTCATTCCATGCACCATCAGATCCTTCTCCCCACACCACCGACCGAAGAAGTCAGACCTGCCCATGTATCATCCCAAAAAGACGAAGACGAAGCAGGACGAGCAGAAGAGACAGCCCGCCATCGTATCCACTCAAAACCGAAACGAAGAGACATGCTCCATTTCCACGCGTACGCTACTAACAAAAAAACAAAAGTGCTCGGGGCACCGCAAACAATCTTGGGTATACTTGCAAAGCAGAAAAACAATCAAGCAATGAAGTGTGAGGGGGTGTCGAATGGTCTTGTCCAGATCAGGGCAGAAGGGCAGAAAAAGTCTATGGCATAGTCGCAAAGCGGTCTAGTCGAGTGTCGTCTCCATTCGAGGTCATTCGTTCTATCCGGGCAGAGAAGATGGTCGCAGAGAAAGACGGCTCGTCGCCAACGCAGCATCAATCATGGTCCAGACTCCATCGTGTCGTTCGTCACGGGTTCGCAAATGTTGTCCTTGCTCCACGCCTGCCGTCTCGAAGCAGGGCTGAGAGCACGCATGGAGCTCAGTCACTGCAATATCCTCGGTTGGTGTATAACAACTGCCCCCGTGCTTCGATGGCGTCCTCAGCCTCGAGGGAGATAGATCGGGGCAGAGCCTATCAGCATCCTATCCAACAGCCCTGACAGTAGCAGTGCTCTCTGTAGAGCTTTCACTGAGACTCCTCTCATTCATGCTCGCTGCAGCCTCTGCAGCTCTCTTCTGCGCCACGACCTCTCTCGCGTAAAACTCCACGAGCATGGTCCCGTAAGCTTCAATTTCTTCCACGGGAATACTCAATCGAAAGTCGTTCAACAGCAAGAATTGCAGTTCCAGATGATTCAGCTCCGGCAACGGTAGACCTCCAACCTGATTGAAGCCGACGTCAGTTATGATCCGAGATGACAATCGTACTGCAAGTGTGGTTCATGCAAGTTTCAGGGATTACAAGACAGATGATGTCAAGCTTGTGTGCACAGTCTGGGTAGGTGTGGAGGGGTACATGTAAGCTGTCAGAAGCAGGAAAAACTCACCTTTGCATATCTCGAATTGGTGTAGAAGATGTCTGAAAAGAACTTGCTAGCACACGTCACTCCGGCAATGACGAGTCGGTGAATGTTGAAACTGTCCACAACGAAGAAGTGAGACAAGTTGAACGGATCCATGTCCAAATGTGTCGAGGGCTCAGTAGAAGATGGTGGTGGTGGTGGCGTGAGTGAATCTGCTTCTGGATTATTAGGCCGACTGTGGGGTGTACCAGGTATGCCCCGTTCTGACGGCCTTTCCAGGCCACCAGAGTACGGAGGAGTCGCCTGCTGAGTTCCGCTGGGAGTGGCAGCTATTACCCCCTCCATGCGGTCTGGGTCAAGCGACTCTGCTGAACCGCTTCTGCTCGCCTTCGCGTTGGCCTTCACCGCTTGCTGGTTCGCCTGATGTAGACACTGCATTGGTCCTGCGTTCACCCGCTCCGTCATGCGGTCAAAGTACACCAGCAAGCTCAAGAACACTTCGTAGCTAGTAGGGCAGTACTTATTGATCCTGCTCAAGTAACTCAAGATGGTGATGCTCGGCACGTTCTTGCCGTGAAACGCCAACACACTCGTCGTCTGTTGATTGAGGTGTGAGGCTTCGTTCATGGACGGCGGCGCTCGGTGCAAATGCTCATGCTGCTTGTCATTCGTGGTGGTGATTTTGGTGAGGAGGCCCGCCACCATTTCTATAATGTGTTCGACCTTCATCTCGCTGATTTCATACTCGGGGCTGTTGTCTTCTGCTGCTCGTGAACGTGACCGACTCCTGCTACGTATTTCCGAGAAGTCTCTCATGTTTTCGCTTGCAAAGGTTCGGATGTGGTCCAGGTCTCGCACTTTGATCTTCCGCGGCCTGGAAGATCTGCTGCTAGGCGTGGTGTGTATGCTGTCCGTCTGTGCGTCTGTCTGAGACTCGTCCGCCGGGGGTGGAGGAAGCGTGCTGGCACCTAGAGTCGGGCTTTGCGGGCGTGGCGCACTCCTCTGCGACGCTGCTCGTGGCTCTCCTGATCGAACATGATCGCTATGTCGCTGGGCTGCAGACGAGCTTGGTGCTCTCTGCGCCGGTTCGGACATGTGGTCCGAGCCGCTATTCGATTGCGAGCGGCTCCGCTTCGAAGTGGACCCTGTTCGTGGCGTTTCTCGATACAGGGCGTGCTGGGGATGGCTCGGCGAGATGTGAGGATGGGCGTGGTGTGATTGTTGTTGACTGAAGAACGAGGTCGCAGCGTCTATTACGAGAGATCCCATGATACTGCCGCAGATAACCTGAATGCTGAGCTAATGTCAGTCGCGTCTGCGAGCGAGCGAGCGAACGGGCGTGCGTGCGTGTGTGAGCCTGTGTGCTATGTGTGTTCTGGCCGGCCGATGAGGTACTGGTAGGTGTCGGCGACGCTGGTGTCTCGAAACGGGATGGAGGGGGCGCAGGCAGACGAGAGAGCGGTGGTGGCAGTGAGGATGGCGGCGGTGGTGGTGGTGGTAGTAGTGGGAGTGGTGGCCGTCCGTAGTTGCACTGGCTGGCATGTGAATGTCCGAGAGCGACACGCGTCGGATGATGGAGATTCGGTGCGATGGCAGGGACGACCGACGACGCGGGTGGCGGAGCGGATTCTTCCTTCCCTCTTCTTCTTCCTTTCTCGAAGCAGCCGGTGTCGACGAGGAGCTGGTCGTCGATGGAAGTGGTGACAGTATGCAGGCAGACTGCGATGTCGAGGCGATGGAGAGTGGCAGAGTTGCGGCGCAAATCTGGCGATAGGAGCAGCCTGTCACTGTGCCGGCCCAGCTGTCGGACCTACGCAATCCCAATCACAACGAGATGAAACCTGCCAGCAACTCACCAGGTAGCATGCCTCGCCTCCGATCAATGGGCTGTGCTCAAAGCTAATTGGACAGCGTGTGATGGTCGTGGATATGTATGTCGCTGGCCCTCGCGCTGTACCGTGGCAGCAGAGCAGAGCTGGCGTGGGAGCTGTACTATGTGTCGTTGTAATAGTAGCAGTATAATAGCATTCCCAGCAAAAGGGACATGGTTTCGAGGGACGAGGGATGGGATCTGCAAGCCAAGCTAGCACTAAACCACTACCGTTGACTAATTTGACTTCATCAAACCGCCCAGCAGCGGGATTTAGACGATTATGCTTTGGCCTTGATTAGCGCCGTCTATATTCTCGGTACTGGGCAATGGGCATACGAGTATCTGGAACAACCTTAAACGACTCCATACACTGGGACCAGCATAGCAGGTACATGTACCTAAGCTATGCCTAAGCTATGTACAATCATGAACTTCCGTAGCCTGGCATCGAGCTCGAGAGCTGCATCGCCTCCGCCTCCACTGTACCCTTCCTTGTACCTCGATGAATAACCGCGCTCGCCGCGTATGAAAGCAAACTACGCAGAGGAACACTAGCCAGCTACGCTAAAGAGACGTACCTCCTAACAAGCGGACGAGCACCCTCATTGGTACAATGCATCTTCACATGTGTCGCTCTAATAATCTAGTCATATGTAGCCATGTCACCCATGTGGCCCGCGGTCGACGCCTGCTTGGACGAAAGACGCTATATCCACTTGTGCAGACTGGGGTAAGCGTCACGACTAATACTGTCCACGATCTTGCAAGTGCTTCATGTCAGCTTCTGTATGAGGTGAACCGCATCGCTCAATCCTCACTACTTCCACACTAGAACCCTCGTCTAGAAATGGGATGGGCGCGGTGAAAGCTTGGTCTGCTTGTGGGATACTATTGCAGCCTCTTTTCGGCGCGCAAAGCTCATGCAAATCTACAGTTCTTCCTGTCCCTGACTTGACACTCCATGGCCTGGCTGCACAGGGCTGGTGGGAGAGCATGTCTATGCAAGTGTGTCCATTTCATCATCTCGTGCTGCGCTCTATGGCTTCTCAGTTCCCGGTCCCTCGTAATTCCTGTCGGGCAGGTACAGGTGCCGGACGGCTCCCTTTGCTGTGAGGACAACCATACGAATCACGCCACCGGAACTGCCATCCCACTTGATCGCCTCTTTCAATGAGCCCTTGACAAACGCAATGCCTTCTTCTTCCGTCATGCCCTCTTTCCAGTTCGCGTCTGTGTATCCGTAGATGTATGTGGATCCCGAACCAGCAATGGCGAAAGCCTGCTTGTGCAGCGAACCTCCCAATGGAATCTGGTATACCTGTCCCCCGTGCCGGGGATCCCAACCTGCGATGATGATTCCAGCACTCAACATGTCCTTGTTTTCGTAGCAGAGCTCTTGAAATAGCGCAGCCGCCGTCTGTGTGGTGGGCGCATCATCGTTCTGGATGCCGTATGTGCTGAGGTGGTACTGGACAATGTCGGCAACGGCTTGGGTGTCAGCGGCTGATCCTGACCGACAGCACCAGATGGTGTCGTGGACTTGTGTGAGCTTGTCTGTGACACGGTTGGCAATGTATGCGCCGGTGGTTGTGCGGGAATCGGCGCCGAGGATGACGCCGTCTTTGAAGTTGATGGCCATGATGGAAGTCCCGAGGTTGACCTCGCCGGACTTGAGGTGGTTCATGTCGATGTGGATGCCATCTGTGGTGTGAGTGTTAGTTGATGGCAAGGCATGGCATAGGGTCAGTCCGTGATGCTGTGCTTGCCTTCGCCGAGCATTCCCGTTTGGTTGATCATGATGGCGGCGACGTGGTTGGAGAATGGGCTATTCGACAGAGGTGTGGTGTGGGTTGTTGGGAGGACTTTTGCTGGTGATGTTGTGATACCGTAATGTAGTTGACAGTGGACAATTGCCTGTTGTCAGTCGTCAGAGGCAGTCGCGAGCTGCGCGTCGAGCGAGCGAGCTTGGACCCTCCCAGATTGAACTACAGAACTACGACTTTCGCCCTCCAGTCGTCCTTCACTTCAACCATCCCTTTTAGGTCAATTATTGAACATCCCGTCCATGGATGATGTCTGACACCTCCAATCAGATCTCCAACGAGCACGACACCGCACCTGAGGACTGGACCATTTGCGCAATGACACTCCCTTGACACTCTTGCACCCACTCAGCAATCCCAAGCCTCGCCGCCACCGGACGCCATCTCGCCACTCATTCCACGACCACTCCCACGACCATGGCAAGCCTCCTGCCGTGGCTCCGCCTTCCCTTCTACCTGAGCGCTGCTGCTGTGAGCTTGGGCGGCGGAGCCCTCTACTACTTTCAGAAGTGAGCTTGTACCGAGGCACGCCTCGCCTCGCCAAGAGAGAGAGAAGTACGCGCTGATGGCGAGGCAGCGAGATTATCTATCCCCGGAATCTGCCTCCTGGCACGCGAACAGAAGTGCCGAGGCCACCGCAGTTTGATATTGAGGACTACGAAGAACTGGAGATTCCGACTCCCGATGGCGAAACCTTGAGCGCCTTCCTCATTCGGCCAGCCAACAGAACCCAGGCAAGACCCATCACAATCCTCAGCTTTCATGGAAATGCCGGGAACATTGGACACCGTCTCCCTATCGCCAAGGTGTTGTCACACGATCTCGGCTGCACCACTGTGATGCTCGAGTATCGAGGTTATGGTCTGTCTACGGGCGATCCAAACGAGAAAGGCTTGGCCATCGATGCCCAGACTGGACTGGACTATATCCGGAACCGCGAGGATTTGAAGGCTCACAAGATCATTGTGTATGGTCAGAGTCTCGGCGGCGCTGTCAGCATCGATCTAGTCTCGAAGAACAAGGGAGCGGGAGACATCAAAGGTCTGATGCTGGAAAACACATTCTTGAGCATTGCAAAGATGATCCCCAAAGCGGTGCCGATTGCAAGGTATCTGGCTCCACTCTGTCACGAGTATTGGCGCAGCGAGGACCTGATTCCTCAGATCACGGATGTCCCGATTCTGTTCTTGAGTGGTATGAGGGATGAGATTGTGCCGTGAGTAGATTCCCAATCATCATCTCATGTGATGCATACATAGTAGCTGACTATTTGCAGGCCGTCGCACATGAAGGAGCTCTTCAAACTTGCCAAGACGCCGCAAGTGATGTGGAAGGAGTTACCTTATGGTGATCACAATAGTACCGTGGCAGAACCTGGCTACTTCCAGTACATTGAGGAGTTTCTGCAGCGATATGTGACGAGCTCGTAACGGGCATCCAACATGTCAGGAGCAGAGACCGCTGTAGGACTCGGGTATTAGAACGTGCAATGTAGCCTGCCTCAGTAGCGATGCGAGCTTTGACACATGACCAAGTGGAAAGAGCGAGCTCATAACTGATGCGAATCACATGCGCCATACATGTACTTTTCACACAAGCCTGAAGATGCCGTGATAAAAAACTTCACACTCACAACACATGTACTTCTTAAACGATGGTAATCACTGCAGGCAAACAAAGAGCATTTTTAATCAATCAATCCACTATTCAGAACATCCATCCCTCTCTCCTAGGTAATCTTCCCATCTCTCCAAAAAAATCCTATCTCTACTCCTCCTCTAACCTCCACCTTGTGGGATTCTGATGTTGATGTGGCTGTTCTCTATTGTTAACGCGAAAAAACTATTGATGGATATTGTTATTGGCTTAGCGAGACAGAGAACAAGGGCCGGGCCCAAGGACGAGTTTCCAATGGAAGCTAATAAGTACGCCAAAATTTCCCAATCTACGATACCTTCTCTAACTGAATCTATACCTACCTATGCTACGATCCATACGTCGGCGTATTCCCCTCACCATTACCCACGGGCTGAGTATTATTGATACATCTCGCTCCATCATTCGAGTATGAAGCCGGCCCATCGGCGAATTTCACAATGCTGTACGGAGTTTGAATGCTGACTTTGTAAATATTTCCCAACGTGTTCTCGGAGCCGTAGAGGAAGCCATCGCTGGAAGCATAAGTCGCGCCGAAAACGGTGGCGTTGGCGAAAACGAGATCGTTGAATTTGATGATGATTTCGCAGTTGTGAGTGGCTAGTGACCATCGGATCAGATAGCATTGATGGCCTGTCGTATTTGTGTGTTAGCTTTTCGGTCATTTTTTCATATCGTAATTTTCTTTTTCGAAGGGGGGTTATGTTGATAGGGGATGGACTTACCTCCACTAGTGACACCGAGCGTGTACAAGTAATCACCTCCTCCGGGAACGTACGCCCAGTCTGCAAAGTCATAACGACATCCACTTCCATAGCCAGAGGCGACGACTTTGCCGTAATTGGTGGGGTTGTTGGGATTGAGATTGATCTGCTGCCAGTGCAACATGCCCGATGTGACATTGGCCGGCTCGCCACTATACAGCTGTCCATTCTGGTCGATATCTCCCAACAGGAAGTTCGCGCCTGAAAGGGAGGCACTGTCACTGCCCATGTCTTGCGTGCTCCCATCGGAACCGAGACGGACAAGCGCATGGTCTGTGTTTCTGAAGCCGTAGATGAAGTTGTCCAAACTGTTGTATCCCATAGCATTGATGAAGGCAAAGTTGTCACCGAGGTCTTGATACTTTGTGACGGTGCCTGTTGACAAGTCCACAGTGTACAATACGTAACCTTGCACGAGATAACCGTAGACGCTGCACGCAAGTCTGCCTGCGATAGGCGCAATCGGAAGTGTTGGTAATGGTGTGTAGACCACCACAGTACCAGACGCTGAACCGCTGGGAGAAACTGTTGTTGTGCTGCCGGCGGTCCTGGTTCCAGATTGCGTGAACGAGACTGTAGTGGTGTAATATCCTTGAGGCGAGAGAACTTGAACGGTCCCTGGAGCCGTACCTCCTGCGTATGTGTTGACTGTAGTCGTGCGGACCTGGGTACCAGGATAATAGCTCGTTACTGTCGTATAGAGCAAAGGTAGATTCACAACGACAAGTCCTGCAGAGGTTCCTCCAGAGTATGTGGCCACTGTGGTAGTACGTGATGTGCTTCCGGTGTAAGAGGTCTGTGTAGTATACAGGATGGGTTGGTTCACCACGACCAGCCCTGCAGAGGTGCCTCCCGAGTAAGTTGCCACTGTAGTCGTTGATGCCACGGCGCCCGAGTAGTAGGAGGTGCGGGTAGTATACAAGATGGGTTGGTTCACCACGACCAGTCCTGCAGAGGTGCCTCCAGAGTAAGTAGCCACTGTGGTCGTTGAAGGTACGGTACCCGAGTAGTATGAGGTGCGGGTAGTATACAAGATAGGTTGGTTTACAACAACCTGGCCAGGTACGTTCCCTCCAGCGTAGGTCGCGATCGTTGTAGTATATGCCGGAGAACTGGCGATGTAGCTCGTTTGCGTCGTGTACAGGACAGGTTGATTGACTACAACCAGGCCCGGCACATTTCCCCCCGCGTAGGTAGCGACAGTTGTAGTATATGCTGGAGAACTGGCGATGTAGCTCGTTTGCGTCGTGTATAGGACAGGTTGATTGACAACAACCAGGCCAGGTACGTTCCCTCCGGCGTAGGTAGCAACAGTTGTAGTATATGCCGGAGAACTGGCGATATAGCTCGTTTGTGTCGTATACAGGACAGGTTGATTGATGACAACGAGGCCCGGCGTGGTCCCTCCAGCGTAGGTAGCGACAGTTGTGGTGTATGCCGGAGAACTAGCTATGTAGCTCGTTCGCGTCGTGTACAATCTTGGTTGATTCACTACCACGAGGCCCGGTGTACTCCCTCCAGCATAGGTTGCAACCGTCGTAGTAGTTGGCACGCTTCCAGAGTAATAGCTTGTCTGGGTCGTGTAAAGCCTAGGCGACTGTACGATAACGAGACCTGGCGAAGTTCCTCCACTGTAAGTTGCGACAGTTGAGGTAGTAGGCTGAGCTCCATCGAAGTAGGTCGTTTGCGTAGTGTAAAGTATTGGCTGTTGAATCAGAATCGTGCCGAGGAATGTTCCACCGCCGTAGGTCGCTAACGTCGACGTGACTGGTACGCTGCCAGAATAATATGTTGTCTGAGTTGTGTATCCCTCGGGCTGTTGAACAACGACAAGGCCAGGGCTCGGACCACCGTTGTAGGTTGCTATAGTCGAAGTGATAGGAACAATTCCACTATAGTAAGTAGTACTCGTAGAGTACAGGATGGGCTGTTGGATCAGCACGGTACCAGGTGTAGGGCCACCGTTGTAAGAGGCAATAGTCGAAGTAATAGGGACGTTTCCGCTGTAGTAGGTCGTTCGCGTTGTGTATAGGATCGGTTCCTGGATAAGCACGGTGCCAGGAGTAGAGCCGCCATTGTACGTTGCGATCGTCGAAGTCACAGGGACACTTCCAGAGTAGTAGGTAGTCTGCGTTGTATAGAGAATTGGTTGTTGGACCAGGACAGTGCCAGGGGTAGGTCCACCGTTGTACGTTGCAATCGTGGAAGTGACAGGGACAGATCCGCTGTAGTAGGTCGTTTGTGTAGTGTAACGGATTGGTTCTTGGACAAGCACAGTGCCAGGAGTAGAGCCGCCATTGTACGTTGCGATCGTCGAAGTCACAGGGACACTTCCAGTGTAGTAGGTAGTCTGCGTTGTATAGAGAATTGGTTGTTGGACCAGGACAGTGCCAGGGGTAGGTCCACCATTGTACGTTGCAATCGTAGAAGTGACAGGGACAGATCCGCTGTAGTAGGTCGTTTGTGTAGTGTAACGGATTGGTTCTTGGACCAGGACAGTACCAGGGGTAGGTCCACCATTATACGTTGCAATCGTGGAAGTGACGGGGACAGATCCGGTGTAGTAGGTAGTTTGTGTGGTGTAAAGGATTGGTTCTTCAACAAGAACTATGCCAGTCGAGAAACCTCCACCATAGGTGGCTAGGGTGGTCGTGATTGGTACATCTCCTGAGTAATAGCTTGTCTGAGTAGCATAGAGCTTGGGCTACAAGGGTGTTAGCAAAGAGTACGAAACACGAGGCTTGTTCGCATCGAAGTCTGCAGCACATACCAACTGCTCGAGAACTGTTCCAGGGACTGATCCGCCCGCATAAGTCGCAAGCGTGGTAGTCGTCGGCACGGAACCATCATAGTAGCTTGTCTGAGTGGTATAGAGCCTGGGCTGTATTGTCATCAGTATTGGTCTGTGTAGAACCCTGCATGTTCTTTTACACGTACTCGTTGCTCGAGCACCGTCCCAGGGATGGTACCGCCAGCGAAAGTGGCCACTGTCGAGGTCAATGTCACGGAACCTGCGTAGTAGGACGTTTGTGTCGTGTAGAGTCGTGGCTATCACAATGTCAGAAGGATTGCTCGCTTTCGACCTTGTCCCGTATACATACCTCGAGAACAAGTACTGTGCCAGGAGCACTTCCTCCAGTCCACGCGGCTATTGTGGTCGTCGAAGGCGTTGCTTGGTCGTAATAGCTCGTCGCTGTGGTGTAAGTACCTGGAACTTCTTCCACGATCGTTCCTGGTACCGTTCCACCAGTATATGGAGCAGCAGTGTACGTGGTGGCTGGTCGTGATATCTCGTCGCTATTGGTGAGGTAGATAGTCGAAGTAGTGTAAATTGGCGGGAGCTCAATATAAATTGTTCCAGGTACGGTACCGCTCGGAGGCACACTCGAAAAAGTGCTGGTTCCTGAGAAGTCAGTGCTCCCATAAGAGGTAGATGTCACATATCCGGCGAATGGTGTCTCGACTGGCGTTGAAGAAGTGCTCGAGGGATACAATAGAGTCGGGAAAACCGAGACTCCAACTGCTCGACAGACTATTCTGGCGTACTCAGATGCCTCTATGTCAATGTATTAGCAGAAAACAAGAAATTCTCCGGTCGTTGTTGATACGTACTTTCTCCGTCGGCCGGAGAACATGCATCGTCGATGCAATCAGCATACGCATTCAGTAGCTGTGGAGTCCTGCAAAAGCAGCTCACGTCTCCAAGGCTGCATGGACCGAAGCCAACGCCAGTGACACAGTTCGAAGCGCAAGGTGGGAGATCAGTGAGAGCAGGTGTGAAAGTTGCTGTGGTGCTTGACGGAGGAGCAGAGGGTGTGATCGACGCAGGAGTCTCGACAATGACGGTGCCTGACTGACCGCCAACTGCAGGAATCGTTGTGAAGATTGGCTGGGTAATGACGCCAGGGCCGGTGTATGCTCGTGTTGTTGTCACAGTGCCCGGAGGTGTTTCGATCAAGACCGTACCTGGCGTATCGCTTACTGGTGGGATTGTCGTTGTGATGGGACCTGTGATCGGAACCAGACCAGTGTATAGTGTTGTCGTCGTCACGTAGCTCTGGGTAAACAGGTCGGATTAGCAGGAGCTTTAGCGGATGATTTTGCGTTGCATGTGAAGACTTACTAGTGGTCTCGCAGGTGTCTGAACCTGGACAAGCCCGGCGTTCGTTCCAGTAGGCTGATAAACAGTTGTCGTTATAGGTCCCGTGATGCTGGAGCTTCCCGTATAGAGCACTGTAGTGGTTCTATATGATCCGGGTGTTGCCACCTCTACAAATCCAGCATTGGTACCACTTGGTCCATAGAGAGTTGTCGTCAGAGGCCCCCCTAGTGAAGAAGTTCCTGTGTAGGGCACTGTAGATGTTATGTAGCCAGCTCCAGGTGTCTGCACTTGAACAAGCCCGGCGTTTGTCCCTGTTGCTTCGTAGATGGTGGTAGTCAGTGGTGCGGTGATTGTGGAGCTGCCTGTAAAGAGCACAGTCTCTGTGACATATCGTTTTACGCCAGGAGTTTGAATCTGTACGAGCCCAAGGTTGCTCCCACTAGGCTGATAGACGGTCGTGGTAATGGGTTGAGTCAGAATCGAAGTTCCGGAGTAGAGGACAGTCGTTGTAAGATAGCCGGGGACAGCTGCTGGCGTTTGTATTTGCACGAGCCCAGGGATCGTCCCACTTGGCTCACGAACAGTAGTGGTGATGGCAGCAGAAATCGATGAGGCGCCCGTGTATAGTACTGTCGTTGTCAGATAGCCAGGGGACGGCAGTGCACTGCTTGATTTGAAGCTGCTAGACTGCCCAAATAGCGCTGGAAACGGTCAGCATCTGCTGAGCAGTGTACCACTCTAGCCCATGCCGGAGGTGCTTACTCGACGGATCGCCCACCACGACACCACACGACCTCTTCACGACGACAGTGACGACGGGAACACCTGATTTTGGAGTCAGTCAAAAGTCTCACAGACGTGCTCGGGGAGATCTCACGGTCGAGCGCTTGTCCGAGCGCGCAGCCAACCAGACCACCGATCAGGAACTTCATGATTGTAGTGCGTGCAGGCGTTGAGTTGGACAGCTCGAACGACCAAAGGCTCCTTGAAAAGGCTCAGAAAATGTCCATTCCATCTGCAGATTGCGTGCGGAGGTTGATTGTCGATTCGGACCCGGTAGAGGCTAGGCATGCGAATTCCTGTCGATTCCATTCCTCTCTCCATATTGGCAATTTTGACAGATCTCCTTTGGTTGTAAGTGCCGACCAGCTTGTCCACGCCTCTACTACGAGAAGGTCTATGAGAAACCTGACCACCTACAAATAAGTCTATTCATTACTTATGGTCCCGAGTGTGCTGGGCACTACTCCATATTTCAGGAGTTTCCAGTGCTAGGAGGTAGACCGAGGCGTTCAGCCACGACCGGAGGAATGGTTGTGGAATGATGTTTGCGTCCCAAACATCAGGGTCTGCCAGGTATTGCTCCATTGCTTATTGTAAACACGAGTGTGACGGTGATGATCGACCCGCGATGGTGGGAGTTGGGAGTGCATAATCTGAGTATATGTGGCGCTTCCTTGTACCTAGGTATGTTTTGAGTCTTGAGAGTGAACGGATGTAGAGCAGCGTGCGTGATCTCCTGGTCTGCTTGGCTCACTGCTCCACATTTAGCGGCTGAATCATTAAGCGTATTCGGCCATGGCAAAGAATTGTGTAATTGATGAGGTTCACCGTTCTTGTGGGGAAATTTGTCAAGTATTGGATGGAGGAGTGTTGGAAATAGGTAGCTTGAATAGATGGAGAGGATAGAGAGGATTAGGTAGGATAGATAGATGCACGAGCTGATATCCCTTCTTTTTTCATTTCTTTCGACTTTCTCTTTTACTGTCCCTTCTACCATCCTTCCTACCTACCTACTAGTAGGTACTATCCCTTTTGCTGCTTTTTCCATCGCTCTGTAAAAAAGAGTACCCACATTCGAAAAATACCGCTGTGACTTCGACTACTTCTGAAGCCGATCCATGTATGTCTGGTTGTTACTATAGGCACCTAGATAGTTCATGCTGTGCTGTCGGTGTTGGTCAAATCCCTCTTTTCAAGAAAATTTGACGCTTGCCAAACCCTTCCAAGGATCCTTCCAACCTCCTAGGCCATCCCACCTACTTTCTCTGAGAGCATGCGTTTTATTCTTGCAGTAATGCAGTATACCAGGTGGAATATCCAAAGTAGGTACATGTACTTCAGACCTGCTTCCTGGCATTACGTCCAAGTTACCATTTTTCCATGTCGACAACGATCGCAGAAGTTTGGCAGGGATATATGTGACTGGGCTCTCTTAAAGACCGCCTCGGGTGAGCAATACATACAGTACACTACTGCTACCTCCCACGCACTTGGGATACGCAACGTCGCACTGAAGTTCAGTTTGAGTTCAGGACTGTGTCGAGATACGATGCGGGCTGCTAGGCCAGGCCTGGGGCATACGAGACGTCGACTGACCGCTCGCGGAGAAGCGGATAAAGACCATCGCCACGGTCCTGGTCCAGTCTCCACAGGGCAAATGCAGAGGTCGACACTTCGGTGCGTATTCGGCTGATGCGTGGTCCGTATATATGGACTTTGGCGTTCGCTAAGCTTGCTCGATAGTGCTGTGGAGGTGGATGGCACTACGATTATAGTGTGTCCACAAGCATGATATATTATAGCAGATGATTCAAGGCCGTTTCGCATGTCACAGATATAGGGTCGATGAAAAAGTTGCTATACTAGGAGGTATGAGATCCTGATCAGGAATGTTCCCGTCAAAGAGCGTTCGCTTGCAAGTTAGCTCGAATACTGTATCTCTCCTGCATAAGATACAACCACTGCAGGGTATGCGCTACGTGGTTGGAGCGGGATGTCTCGCTTCCAGGCTGCATGAGAATCAAAAGCGTCACGCAGTATAGACTCTCCAGTCTTCAGCCTCCACGATGCTCTTCTGCCATCAGTCAGATACAAACGAACGATCCGTCGCCTCGCTCTCTTCTGCCTCTGCGAACGTGTATCCTCTCACCGACCACAAGCGCCAGCGAAAGCTCAGGTATGTGGTACCTCCTACGCCACGTGGGAAACTTGGCGCAGACTTCGAGCTCGATTCAAACACAGCACGAGTTGCTGCGCATCGGGACGCACATTTCAGGAGGTCCTGCAGCGAGGACGATCTCCGAGCCTTCTGCCGACTTCATGTCTGCCCCTCCACAGGCTCCAACACGGCAAGCTGGCGCCGCCTCAGTATGTAGGAAACGAAGTCAGCGCGATAAGCGCTGACAGAGGGCGAGGCGACGCCTGTAATGAATTCCATGTCCAGTGGAGAACTGATTCACGGACATCGAAGCGGGAATAGAAATAGATGCCATGCCGGGTGGCTGAAAGGACGCTTTCAGCCCTATTGGTATCAGTTGACCGTTGACAACGAAAGAGTTAGCAGAGGTAACGGTATCGCCTATTCTTGGGTTACTGGAAGACTACCTGGTATTTTCTCGTTAGAGGTAGCTTGACTCGGTGAGTACAACAATGTCTCACTGTCGCAAGGAAAGTTTAGATTTACAGGCTCATTGAGTTTGATGGTCGCGATGCAGCCCAAGCGGCAGAATCATAACGGAGGACACGTGCGCACTCATGCTCCTGTCCCGAGCTGCCCTGCGTGCATCTGTCAAGTCTCCGGGGGGGATTCGCTCGGCGGGAAGATGATCTCGGGAAGAATATGGTGAAAAGCATTGTATAGTGTAATCAACGCAAGTGTATGCCGTCGAGATGCACCCATTGGAGGTACATGGGGCTGTCCCCTGACACACTTGAGTCGTAGCGGCCCGCGGGAGGGCATATGTAATCGTCGCCAGGGCCCTGGAGCGAAACCCGAATAGAGCTTACTAACCTAGTCGTCACCGTCTCCAAGCGGAATAGGCAGTGAGCCATGTTCGGAACCTGGCGAAAGAGTTTGGCGGTGGGTGCAGAAATCTGCAGGCGGAAGTTTGTGGTTGTGGTCGCACAGGGCGTCGTCCATCTCACAATCGCTTGCGTTGGCGAAGAGCCACCTGTTGCCTCCCTCCTCGGCTGGCCCTGTGAGTGGCCAACACTGCTTTACGAATAGGTTTGCAATGGCCGTGTGCATGACCAAGTTCAGTGATGGCGAGGCCAGGAACTTGGAAGGGGGATTGGAGAGGATTTTATGCGGGCCTATCAACGACTAGAACTAGCCTCCAGCCAGATCTTCGAATGACAAGAGCCGAAAGCATCCCGACGGCATGGATGGCACACCTGATGATGAAACCGCTGTGCGAACAGCAGCCGGAGGACCCGCTCCTGTTGCTGTCAGGTGTGTGGAAAGTATCTGTATGTAGGTACTCTGTAATACGCAAGTGAAGTACAGGCAACTCATATACCTCCCTGGTACCTTGCCTATCTACCTTACATGTACATTTGTACACTACCTACATGTACATAGCACGACCGTGTGCGCAGGAAGATCATTATATCACTTCACGCGACCTGCAGTAACTCAATGACAAGATTAACATCACGACGGGCCTTCGTCTAGCGACGTTAGCGCAGTCTTCGAATAGTGGCGCACTGGCGCACTCGTATGCATCATCCTGGACTAGTCCCACTGCTCGAACGCAGAACGCCAGCACTTTCTTGCCAGCCCAGCAGTGCGCTGTCGCGACCGACTTTGGAACGAAATATCCACGACCTTCACTTTCTCCCCTCAGACGACCACCACCACCAACATCACCACCACCACCACCAGGTCGGTCTTGGACCACCGACAACCACTGCGCGCCCAACAGATGCCCTCACGTCCGTCCCGCGGCATCCGGTATGCATTGATCGAGTGCACTGTGCAGTGACAGACGCGCTATCACCGCTGCCGCACCTACCTGGTTGTATAGGCGCCGCACATGATCTCCGAAAGCTGACTGGCCAGTAGTCGCTCTGCGCTTCCATCCTAGTCACAACCTCCTCCCTCGCAGCGCCCAATTCGGCGTCGGGGAGGTGACGAGCTTCTTATGGCAGCACCCTTGCAGTGGCCGGCCGCTGCATCCACCGCCTCTGTCACAACTACTGGCTCTGTTACTGGCACGCATGGGCCAACCATCTCGGACTCGTTGCAACATTCACACGCCTCACGAGAGCCAGCAAACGGGCTGCAGAGCGTGCGGCAGAAAACGATATCCTCGCCCTTAATCTCACCCGCGAGCTCACGAGGCCACCACCAGCAGCCGCATCAGCAATCGCCTATCACGCAGGCAGCACCCTCCCTTTCGGTCCGCAAACCCAATCCGGCGAAGAAAGTCGTCAGGGGAAATGATGATGAGCTGCACCAAGCCATCACACGCGAGGCTGTAACGGAAGAACAGCGGTCCATAGGCCAGGTTCAGTCGCCTCATCATCAGCAGCAGCAACAGCAGCAACAAGAAGCTCCGCCGAAGCTGGACCCTGCACATCAGACCTTCCTCCGCAGCGCCCCGACCATCATGTCGAACCCCCAGGCTGCCATTCGGCCTGCACCTCACGACCGCATTCCTATGATGGCGCAGAGGACTGCCTCGATTGATTCGACAGTCTCCTCTGTGTCCTCCATGTCGAACCACAGGCCTATCAATTCAGGAACCACTAATGCTTTCAGAGTGTCTCAGGAATCCCAAGGGCCGCAGGATGCAGCTGCGCTGATCGCTGCCGCTGGGTCAGCAGAAGCCGCGTTACAAAAAGTGCTGCAGGAGAAGCAACAGGCAGCTTCGCATAATGCTCAATTATGGCGACTGGTGGAGAAGCAACGGTCAATGATTTTGGGACTGAATAAGGACCTGGAAAAGTCTTTGAAGGAGAAGGAGCGGTATCGGCGGAAGCTCAAGGACCATATCTCTCAGTCGACTCCTGCGCCCACACTCACTCCTACCGATGCGCCGACAGTGCAAGGACACTCGAGAGAAACCAGCGAATCTTTATCACCCCTTACGCCAATACCTGCGCCAGTCCGAGACATCAGCGTGGACACTCTCCAGACAAGCGACGGATCTGGGTCTGCGTCTAATAGCATCGGACGATCAGACACACCTCAAGATGCTATCAATTCGCACCTGATGAATCAGGCGGGGGTTGCGAGCAGTCCGACTGGCAGTCAACAAACTATACACCACGATACGAGGCCTGCCACGATTGACACACGAGCAGCAGCTTTGGCGACCGTCCAACGAACACCGACTGGCACGCCCCCTATGTCTCTGAAGTCAGCGGAGACTGTGCATAGCCCCAAGAACAGTATCAGTCACTCGAAGAATCATTCCACGTCTTCCTACCATAGCAGTCCGCCCGCGTCCGCAACTGGCAACTTCAGCCCAAAGACACGAAAAGCCCCTCCCGCACCCCTCAGACTTGACCCGCCCACGACGAGACCGGATCCCAGTGTCAATGACGATGTGGAAGACGCGTCTGACTCGGAATACGAAGAAGACCCAGAAAGTGCGAGGTCGGAATTTGCGGACAGAGGTCGTAGAAAGACGCGCGAGGACGATGACCGTGAAAGAGAGGTGCTCGCGCAGAAAGAGGCTGAGCAACGCAGTATGTCAAAAAAGGACAAGAAGAGTAAGAGTCGAGCAGCGGAGGAGTCATCAATTGTGGCACAACCTGGTGCGGCTGAGCATGCAGTAGCAGAGGCCGCCAGGCTGAATGGACCATGGTCAGAGCCGAATCCTTACGAGGTTGTTCACAATCGAGCCGCATCGGACTCGCAGTCACGCACGCTGGCTGCACCCTCTGCAATGCTCAGCCCTGGCTTGCCCATGAGCCCACGACCTGGTGACAGGCCACCAAATTCACCAATGCCCCGTGCTCCTGTCACGCAACTGGCTAATTCAATGCCTCTTTCACCACGAGCTGGAGTCGCAGGCCTTCCACTGTCGCCACGTGCTCCTAGATCAGCGATACCACTGCCTCCACAAACCCCAATGGCACTCATGTCGCCACACCTAGACAGGGCAAAAGCTTATGCAGCCCAAGCGCCGCACTTCCAAGCTCTCGCTAATCTAGCTGACCGCATGAAACCGATGAATGGTGGCAGTCCTGATCAAGGGCGGCCTTCTATGTCGAGCGACCAGTCCTCGGTACACAGCCCAGGGGAGATATACAAGGGCCTCCAGACAGAAGACTACCCGGACTTGCTCCTGCCGCCAAACGCGCTTCCGTCGATATATGTCAAGACGGCTTCATCACGCATGGTTCGCTCTCGAGTTAGTATGCTGGTGTCTAAGGCTGCTGATGAGAATCCCGTATTCACCCTAGCTGTACACGAGCGATCTCAACACAAGGAGCTCTGGCGAGTTGAAAAGACTTATCAGGCACTTTCGCAGTTGGACTACGATATCAAGGCCCTATGCCGGATCAGCGATCGCATACCTGATAAAACGTTGTTCACTGGACACGCTCCCGCCAAGATCGACGCCAGGCGCATGGCTCTCAACGTTTACTTCGAACGGACCATGGACTGTGTGACCGAGGAGAAGGCCGCAAGGATCTTTTGCAAATTTTTGTCGACAGAAGCATTTGCTCCCGAGAAAAGTGACTACTTCACTTCGAACGAGCAGAATAAACGCCCAGACTCTCCAGCTGTGACGCCGCTGAGACTGAGACCGAACATGGCAGGATATCTGACGAAGCGCGGTAAGAATTTTGGAGGCTGGAAGGCGCGCTACTTCGTGCTCGACGGCCCCCTCTTCAAGTACTTTGAGGGCCCTGGAGGTGCTCATCTGGGTTCCATCAAGCTGCAGAACGCTCAGATCGGCAAGCAGTCGGCGAACCCGAATCAGAACGCGCACGACGACGAAGACAACCAATTCCGCCATGCGTTCTTGATTCTGGAGCCGAAAAAGAAGGACTCTAGCGCACTGGTGCGCCATGTTCTATGCGCCGAGAGTGATGCTGAGCGTGATCAATGGGTCGATGCCCTTCTACACTACGTGGACTATCGAGAAGTCGAAGATCGTCTGCAGCCTGCCAGGCAAGCTCAAGTGGCCAAGACTGAGCTAGCGGCTCGTAGTCCGAGATTGCAGAAATCCATGGGTGATCTTCGCACTGCAACAGCTTTCAGTCAGGATGCTGCTGCAGCTCAGGCGAAAGTGGACCTCCAGTCCGTAGGTTACAACGACACTGTCGCTGGCAATGCACCGATCATGGGGCCCGTTACATCACGAGGCGGCAGCGACACGCCATCGCCGCCTCACGACAAGCTTGCAACAGATCAGTCGTACCCAACCATATCGGGCCCGACCAACCTCCAAGTCATCTCGGACACCGAAAATTGGGGCATGAAGGTGCCGCCCACTCCTGGAAAGGATAAGAAGCGTAGCGTCTTTCAGCTACCGTTCACGAGAGGTCGTGGTTCCTCCGATCAGGAGCCAAAGGATGCTGTCAACGAACATGCATACTCGACCCGAGCTGTATTTGGCGCGTCTCTAGCTGACGCCGTGGCATACTCGCAGCCTGCTGGAGTTGACACTGAGCTGCCGTCCGTCGTATATCGGTGCATTGAGTATCTGACAGCCAGGCAAGCTGTTGCTGAGGAGGGCATTTTCCGTCTTTCGGGTTCAAACGTTCTTATCAAGGCTCTGAAGGATCGCTTCAATACCGAGGGTGATGTCAATCTGCTTGAAGCTCATCAAAATTACGACGTGCACGCCGTGGCAAGCTTATTGAAGCTGTATCTGCGAGAACTTCCGGCCAGCATCCTCACGCGAGATCTTCATCTGGACTTCCTGCACTGTTTGGAGTTGCCAGCCGAGGAGAAAGTTCCTGCATTGAACGTGCTCGTCAACCGATTGCCAAGACATAACCGAGCGCTTCTGGAAGCGCTCTCTGCATTCATGCTCCTTATCGTCAATAATGTCCTTGTCAACAAGATGAATGTCAGAAATCGTAAGTCCCGCCTCTAATCATATTTGCATACATGTGTCACTAATTCATAAATAGTTGGACTGGTATTCTCGCCGACACTCAACCTGCCCGGCCCTCTGATCTCGTTGTTCGTGGAAGAGCAATATAGCATCTTCCGCATGCCAGCCGAGCTAGAAGCGTCCAACGCAGCCTCTTTCGGCCACGCCGTGCAAACACCGCCGTCCGATGACCTCCGATCTCCACGTCGTCAGATGTTCCAGGACTTGCCTACACCTGCATACAACCAGACACAGTTTCAGCCTGGCAGCGGCTCTTCCAACGATGATACTGGCATGATTCCCATGCAACCCACATATGCGGCCTACCCGTACCAGATGGCGCCCCAAGGAGACGGCGGCTATGGTAGTCTCAATGACGCCCTTCGCTCGCCTACAGTGTATAGCAGCACGGCAAGCGGGGCACCATCGCCCCGAGACACTAAGCAGAGAAGACGAGAGAGCACCATGCTTGCCGTCAGCCGCGAGGGACCGACTAAAAAGCCGAGCCAGTCCCGTTTACGAGAGGAGCATGGCACCAGTTTCTAGCAGACTGACATGACTACGTTTCGACAGATGACCAGGCGAACCCCTGGGCGATACAGCTACGATGGCGTGTCGAGATCAATGAAGTTCGCTTACGACGACTGAATAATATACCTGTCTGACGTGTCTAATCAGCCCGCGCCAAGAGCTGCCGATCGCACCCTAGTGACGTGGCCGTTAGACAGGTCTTATTTGGCAGTGTTACGATGGATGAATATACCTTAACTCTGGAAGAAGGACTTGCGATTGTAATTTGGCTCCGAGTTTTTGTTTTGGCGACATTTGCGATGAAGCATCATACCCCCTGTCGTTCTTTGATATTTTCAGGTGCATAATAGTTTGTCAGAAGCGTTCGAGCGAGGAGCAAGATGGTGTGCACCAGACTGCTAGAATTGGCGGCGACTCGAGGTGTGCGAGTGTGTTCATGGATCGGATTTATTGTACAGGATGTTATGGTGGTATTCTTCTTCCGAAAGAAGAGGTTGCCTGCCCTACGCAGCCTACGGGGCCCGTTAAAACTGTGGACATAGTCTACCAGAGAATGCTCCAACACATCTCCTGTACTCCATAACGATCGTCCCAACGGTACGAGCCTGAGGCTGCTGATTGAATTGCCTAGGAGGTGAGGTAGGAGGTATGAGTGGTATTCTGCGAGTCAGAGGCACAAGCCAAGCTTCCATCTGTTCTAGCTGGGAACTTCACATCATCATCATCATCATCATCGTCATCATCATCAGCCCCACTTGCTGAACCACTCTTTGGTTCGTTGGTTGCCTTCTCAAGCCATACCATGCCATGCCCTCCTATGCCAACGCCAACCACCGCCAACCTCGCCGACACAAGAGATATCTCTCCTACGCAAGCCGCACCTTGGTTCCCGCCCGATATCGAGCCTACTACGAGTCCGAGCAGGAGTCCATGGGCGATCTCCCCGTTGAGCCTGCCGCCGCGCCAAAACACACCATGTCCGAGTACGCTCCACCGCATCTGGTGTTGACATATCCAGTCATTCACGACTCCAATCGTACATGTAGATTATCTGCTGACGCCCTGCCTAGCGAGCTCAGAAAACTGGCCCTCAGGCTGGGAACGCAAGGACCACACAAGACACTCCCGACGACGAGACTGATCCAACTCCTCTTCAATGGCGTGTACATGATCAAAACCACCCGCGCCGTCTTCGTCTGGGAACACCCGTACTACCCCCAACTCTACATCCCCGCCCTGGACTTGCACTCGTACTTTGACGCCCGCTCCGCCGACCTGCAAATCACCCCCGGCGAACCCGTCACATCCGACGCCAGCGAGCTCCTCGCCACCCACTGGACCCTCACCGTACGAGACAAATCCATTGACAAAGTCCTCTGTTTCGCCGACGAACTCCCCACCGCCGCAGCCTTACCGCTCCAAGGACTCGTCAAAATCGACTTCGCCAGCGTGGATCAATGGTTCGAAGAATCCACTCCCATTTTCGTACATCCCAAGGACCCGTTCAAACGCATCGACATTCTGCAATCGACTCGCCACGTCGTCGTGAAAATCCACGGCAGAGTCGTCGCCGATACACATTCTTCCATGCATCTTTACGAAACGGGCCTTCCTTGTCGATTTTATTTACCTTTGACGAGAGTCGATGCATCTGTTTTGAGACCAAGCCCCACCAAGACGCAATGTCCGTATAAAGGCGAAGCGGAGTATTATCATGTCGAACTTGATTCGGACGACGATCATGACGACCCTGATGATGATGACAATAATCATGACCCCAACGGGAAAGAAACGAAGAAGAAAAAGAACGGCAAAAAGGTATTATATGAAGATATAGTATGGTATTACAATCGCCCCTTGTTAGAAAGCGCAAAAATCGAAGGTTTAGTATGTTTTTATAATGAAAAAGTCGAAATTGAAGTCGATGGCGAAGTTTTGGATTCTCCTCGGACGGTTTTTAGTGGGAAACCTCCGAATTCGGATTCCAAGGAGATGATTTTGGATATGGGAAGTTTTGCTAAGCCGTTGCAGACTGTGAAGGAGGAAGTGAAGACGGCGGAGGAGTGATGTGTTTGGTGTGGGTAAAGAAGGGGGGGGGGAGGAGAGAGGAAGAAGGGGAGGATGTGATGTGTTAACAACACACAAGACCAGCCGGGCTCGATCACGGAACGAAAAGAAGATACTTGGTGTCCGCCATTAATCATTAATAGGCTGGATTGAGAAGAAGCGGGTAATTTACAGCACCATAATACCTATTACCTCGGGAGGTAACCTATACTTGATAGAGACGATTGACGACCTCACTCGACCACGAACCTATGTAATAAGAGAGAAAAAAAAACACGATTCCAATGCCAATAATTTTCAAATTGCTACGACAAACGCTATCAACCTAATGCATGTATAGAGGTACCGTAAAGGTAGGTATACCCAACCTACCTCCCTCTCTAGACGTTATTCCCTCGAACATACCAAGAATTCTTCTTAGCATACTTTCTCGCCTTCTCACTCTCCACAGTCGTCGTCGTCGTCGTCGTCTCCTCACTCTCACCACTAGGTCCTCTCGCATGCTGCAGTCTTCTCACATGAGGAAAACCTTTCCCAGCAGCAGCCCAAGCAGCAACATCTGAATGACCCGTCGGACCTCTCGCATAACCCTGTGCAGCAGAATTCACAGTATTCAACTCGTGCATTTTGTCCACATCGTGTGCGTCGACGATATCCCTCTGTTGTCTGCGCAGCGCGGAAAGCTCGGGTAAATGTTCGCCTGTGAAGACGAGAATTGTCCAGAGACTGGCGTGGATGAGGAGTAAAATGGTGGTGGCCCATACGAGGGTGATGAAGGACTGTCCGGCTTTGGCTTCGACGCCGAGCTCGGAGCCGAGGAAGTTGAGGACTGCTGGAGCGGCGGTGGCGACTCCGTGGGTTGCTGATGCTGCGAGTGCTAGGAAGCCGAGAGCTGGGAGGGCGAGGAGGACATTGATGATGGCTTTCTTGCGCGAGAAGCATGCAGTCGCCCATAGCGATGCTAGTAAGCAGAGACCTGTGAAGAAGATTCCAATCTCGAAAAGAACTCGCACCAGTGTGAGGGGGTTCAGGGCGGAGTGCTTGCTGCATCTTTCAACCACCTTGTGCGTTCCATTTGGTGGCAGAGGAGATCCTCCCACCGTAATATTCATTCCTTGTGGAGTCTTGTACTCGCCTGAACAGGTGGTGCGGAGATGAATACTGTAAAACCCCTGCAGATCCAAGGTGGAAAGGACATCGGAGTATGTCTCGTTGACCTGGTCGACAACCATGGTCTGAGCAGATGCTATTGCGGAGGAAATCTTGGATGCCACGATTCCTTCCACGGAAGCAACTTTGGACTCGACAGCGGAGGCAACCGCTGTGACTTTGGATTCGATACCTGATTTAACGGATGTGATTGCTCCGCCGATGGAGTCTTCCGCATTGCTTTTGACAGAAGCGATGCCGTCTGTGATATCATCGACGAACGAGTCGAGGCCGTCTGGGTTGCGAGGCGCTATAGTGATGGCAGCGAGGGGTGCGTTTGTGATTGTGGCTGTGGCCAGGACCGAGACGGGGAGGTCATCTGGCTTGTTGATGATTTTGGTAAGGTTCAGTCCCATGACCTTGGAGTCGATCTTCTCAACTGCGTTCTGGCCAAAGCGGGTGGCGTTGAGGGTGAAGATGTTGTAGCTCTCCATATAGCCGGGTTTGTTGCCCGCGTACACAACCAGAAAGGAGAGAATGAAGGCTGTAGCTACTACTAGGACAGGGAGGATGGCCCATGGTTGAAAGTTACGGGACATCATCTTTGCGGAGTTCGTCTTGGTGTTCGTGCTAGAGTGATTGGTGCTGTTTTTCGAATCTGTTTTGTGGTTCCTGTCGTAAAGGAAAAAGGAGTGATCTTGCCAGCAAGTAATGTGAATGCGCACAGCGCTTGAGTTAGAAGATTACAAGAAAAGTAGTGAAAAGACTGGAAGTGTGTGGTGTTCTGAAGTTGTGAATGGAAGAAGAAACTGTCGTGAAGATACTTGCGAAGGTAAGGTAGACGTGAATACACAGCCGCCCTGTCTAAGGCACTCCACTCATTGTCTCGTCGACAATGAACAAGTCCCAGAATAGCAGCGCAACAATGAGAAGCAACCGATGTTAGCGCGGTTCATACCATTGTGCGACAATGAATTTGGTTGGCGCGTGAGGTCTCGTGAGTGAAGCAGCGGCTAATTTGAAACACGCCAAGATAGCACGCGCTTTCACGTGACCTGGCGACTTCTCAAGGATATGTCAATCCATTGCAGGCTGCAGCTATGCCACCAGTCGATCTGAATTCAATGGAGTTCATGTTGCAGTATCGCGGCGCAGCAAGCATAGCCGTGCCAGATACAAATTGTATGCCTTTCCTTGGTCGCAACGCATAAGTCAATGAGTAAGGTATCTCCCTCATAATAATGGTATGCTTCTTGAAGTTTGCTTCGATCGAAATCAGGATCTTGGACGATTCCTGCAAGTTGAGGGAGCGAAGACGACCAACTTTAGCAAGCTATAGGAGGTAAGAGACCTTGAAGACCTTAGGACGCAAAGCATCTCTCAACTGGCCACACCCATCGTCGGAATGCAGTCTTCCATTAGCGTGCCTTCATCGTAGCCATTTAGAAGCGAGCACAGCGGATGGACACATATCTGTTCCACATCTTTTTATGGCCACCAAGTCATCTCCAAAGATCATTGGCACCTCAAACAAGGTGGAATGGGTTGTTCTTGCAATAAACGGCGCGATGGCCGAACGCCAGTGAGCTCATAGAGAGAGGAGCACACTGAGAGGACTGACTTGCGTTGTGTTCCTTACCATTTCGAGAGACGGTTTCTCCATGCTATTCCTCCTCTTCATCCTCGATGTTGCATCAGCCATACCATTCCTATTGCTGGTCCTCAGTCCTCCCTTGGGGCGAGACATGCAGCCGTGATCGTGGTAGCGAGCGCATAGAGCGGCAGTGAGATGACTCTTCATCAGTTGGATGATCTCCAGTCGTCGATGATGATGGTGATGAAGATGAGGAGGAGGAGGAGGATGATGATGATGGTAGAGAAGAGGGGGAAAGCTCTCCGAAATTTGAGCTCGTCCAATGCGGCGTTCACGGAGGTGGTGAGTCCGGGACATGCCCGTGTCGCCATCAGAGTGCAACAATCGATGAAACGCGGTATACTTTGTGTACTGTTACGCGTGTACTGGTCGAGACTTTCAGCTGTGCCTTGATTGGATATACCACTGTACCTTTTCTGTTGCTTGCTGTTCCTCTGCGTCACTCCATTAAGCCTGCCTCATGTCCGCTCGTTCACTTCGACTTGGCCTGCCCGCACTTCGGAGTCACCCCTCCAGACCGCGAGTACCCTCCCACCTTGTCCAGCTTGCACCACCCCCAACCTCCTTGACGAGACACCACCACCACCACAACCACCCGATACAACCCATACAGCTTCATAGACCAGCTCGCTCCCCCCTTCTCCACCAGCAGCCGACCCGCTTCGAACGATTTCCTCGCCAAACACCAGCCTACCAGCGATACTGTTCCAGTCGACGATCCGCCATGTGTCGTAGAGAGGCAGATACGGCCGATGCCAACATGGACATCTCCAAAGGCCGCGAGGTGCTGCCCAAGAACGTCAAGCCGCTTCATTACAACCTTACGCTCGAGCCCAACTTCGAGACGTTCAAGTATGAAGGCACAGTCGAGGTCGACCTGGATGTGGTAGAGGATACCAAGTCCATCTCGGTGAACTCGTTGGAGATTGATATCAAGTCGACCACCATTCAAGCTGGAGGACAGACCATCACATCGTCGCCCACTCTCAGCCACGATGAGGATAGCCAAACCACCAAGATCGACTTCGAGCAGTCCATTCCCGCTGGTCAGAAGGCGAAGCTCATCCACACCTTCACGGGCACGCTGAACGACAACATGGCTGGCTTCTACCGATCATCCTACAAGGGTGCGAATGGGGAGGATGCATACATTGCTACTACACAGATGGAGCCTACCGACTGTCGGCGAGCCTTTCCATGCTTTGATGAGCCAGCGCTGAAGGCCACCTTCACCGTCACCTTGATCGCAGACGAGAAGATGACTTGCTTGAGCAACATGGATGAGGCAAGCACGAAGAAGCTCGATAATGGCAAGAAGGCAGTCACTTTCAACAAGACACCTCTGATGTCCACATACCTCCTCGCCTTCATCGTGGGAGAGCTACAGGTGGTGGAGACAAATGATTTCCGTGTACCTGTCAGAGTCTTTTGCACCCCGGATAAAAACATTGAACATGGCCAATTCTCCCTGAAGCTTGCAGCGCAGACTCTCGATTTCTACGAGAAGCAGTTCGCCAGCGAATTCCCGCTGCCAAAGATGGACATGGTTGCCATTCCTGACTTCTCGGCGGGCGCCATGGAGAATTGGGGTCTTGTCACGTACCGCGTGGTCGATCTGCTGCTCGATGACAAGCACGTCAGTGCCTCGACGAAGCAGCGTGTGGCCGAAGTTGTCCAGCACGAGTTGGCTCACCAGTGGTTCGGCAACTTGGTCACCATGGACTTCTGGGACGGTCTGTGGTTGAACGAGGGTTTCGCCACCTGGATGTCGTGGTACAGCTGCAACGTCTTCTACCCAGAGTGGAAAGTCTGGGAAGGCTACGTGACTGACAACCTTCAATCTGCCCTCGGCCTGGACTCTCTTCGAAGCTCGCACCCAATCGAGGTGCCTGTCAAGCGTGCTGACGAGATTAATCAGATCTTCGACGCCATCTCGTACTCCAAGGGCTCATGTGTGCTCCGCATGATCTCCAAGTATCTCGGTGAGGACGTCTTCATGGAGGGGATTCGACAGTACCTAAAGAAGCACGCCTACGGCAACACCACAACTGGCGACCTTTGGGCGGCCCTGAGCGCGGCCAGCGGGAAAGACGTGGAGCGTATCGCTGATATCTGGACAAAGAACATCGGCTTCCCCGTCATCACGGTCACAGAGGATGCCAAGAACAGTTCCATCCACGTCAAGCAGAACCGTTTCTTGCGTACTGCTGATGTGAAGCCTGAGGAGGACCAGACGCTCTTCCCAGTATTTCTCGGTCTCCGATCCAAGAACGGCATCGACGAGGAGCTCACACTCAACAAGCGCGAGGGCGACTTCAAGGTGCCTGACCTTGACTTTTACAAGCTCAACGCCGATCACTCTGGCATCTACCGCACCTCTTACCCTGCGGAACGATTACAGAAACTCGGCGAGAACGCAAAGGCAGGTCTGCTCTCCGTCGAGGATCGCGCAGGTATGATTGCCGATGCTGGTGCGCTTTCGGCTGCTGGGTACCAGAAGACGGACGGTCTTCTTTCGCTGCTGCAAGGCTTCGACAAGGAGCCTGATATGGTAGTGTGGGACGAGATCACTGCTCGAATCGGCGCCCTTCGTGCTACCTGGATGTTCGAGGATGAGAAGGTCAGAGATGCGCTCAAGACGTTCCAGCGCGACCTTTCGAGCAAGAAGGCACACGAATTGGGATGGACTTTTACTGGGAATGAAGGACACATTGAGCAGCAGTTCAAGGGTCTCATGTTTGGCAACGCCGCCTCTGCTGGAGACGACACGACCAAGGCTGCCGCATTCGACATGTTTAAGAAGTTCGTCGCAGGCGATCGCAAGGCTCTCCACCCCAACTTGCGCGGCGCAGTTTACGCCGTCGTGTTGCAGTATGGAGGCAAGGAGGAGTACGACGCTCTGGTGAAGGAGTATGAGACTGCCACATCATCAGACGAGCGCAACGCCGCCCTCCGCTCCCTCGGCCGTGCCAAGGACCCGGAACTCATTCAACGCACCCTCGCGTACTCCATCTCGAAGAGCGTCAAGGAACAAGACATCTACCTTCCACTTGCCGGTCTACGTGCTCATCAAGAAGGCATTGAAGCCTTCTGGGCCTGGATGAAGGAGAATTGGGATCTTCTCAAGGCGAAGATGCCTCCCTCGTTCACATTGCTGGGGTCTACCGTGTCCATGGCCACCTCAAGCTTCACCAAGGAAGAGCAACTACGCGATGTCGAGAAGTTCTTTGAGGGCAAGAGCACCAAAGGCTTCGACAGGAATCTCGCGCAGAGCTTTGATGCCATCAAGGCCAAGATTGGCTGGCTGCAGCGCGACAAGGTGGCCGTGGAGCAATGGCTGAAGGAGAAGAAGTACTTGTAGTGTGGGCGCACTCTGTACAGCAACACGGTCGGAGTCGTGGACTTTACCAATACCGCACATTATCTCGCCCTCGATGGTGATGTTCGAATCAGTGAAAATATCAGTGGTGAGGAGCGCAAGAGTGGCAACGATACTGGCTGCTCGGACATTCCGGTCAATGACCCTGTGATTGAGTATGTGTAGAAGGTGTACAAAAGTCTTGCTAGTAGTACACTGGTTCATGAAATCGGTTACATAGGGCATGTGCATATATCAAAATGGATCATCACGACACATGACAGTATGCTTGCTGATATGTACCTGATTGCCTCGTTATCTGGCTACCAGTATTTGAATTTGTTGAATACGTGTCGCCGTTGTCGTTGTTGTCGTCCCACTGGTTTTAGGTAACCCTAAGATCTTAAGCAAGCTCTACTTTGGTCGACGTTGGACGTTGATGGGTATACTCCTGTATCTGGTACACCTAGTTCCCCATCGTTGATAAGATACTCTTGAATTATCAGATGGAGAAGGATCAACTTCACATACTTGATTCCAATATCGCAGAAGCAGGCTCGTAGCGACTTTATATCTTCTTCTCTCACAAACATCTATCTACCTTCATTTCACCTCCACAGGTAGTTCTTCTTCTTCCTAAATTTTACTCCCTCCCTCCTCCCTCGTCCTCCTCTTCCTCAAATTCCTCTCCGCACTCACCACAAAACACACATGATGACTCAACGCCACCACCTCCCCCATCTCATCCCACACCACCACCTCCAAATCATATCTCCCCTCCCGAATCACCTTTGTCTGTAATCTCGTAGACAAAAATCTCACACCCCCCTGCGGCAACAATTTCTTCACATCCAAATTCAACAATACCGTCGGATACCAAAACGGGGTTTCGGATTTTTTGCTTTCACGCAAAGTTCTTCCGGAAGGGGTTTCGAGGAGAGTGGGATTATATTGATCGAAACCTTGTAAGATGTAGGTTTCGAGAATTTGGGGGAAGAGATCGATTAGGAAACCGAGATTGTCGTTTGTCCAGTTTTCGGAGGGGTCTTGTAGACAGATCCATTCGTCGTAGATGTTTTGGGAGGGTTGGCCTGCGCGGGGGAAGAAGGAGCGGATTTGGCGGGTTGCTTTGCGGAAGTTGCTGTTGGGCCAGTCGGAGAGTTCGGTCCAGGCGGGGTCTTGACCTAGGGAGAGGGCGGTGAGGGTGGAGGTTAGAGGGGTGATAGGAGGTTGAGGGGTCCAGTTTGTGGAGAAGGAAAGACCGGATTCTTTGGTGAGGTTGGTTTGGGTGCAGTAGCTGGTGGGGATGGGGTGTTAGGTAGACATCATTTTTGCTTTTGGGATTGTGGGGCGATGGAAGAGAGAAGCACTTCCAAGTCAATTGTACAGTCTTGATCTCAATCGGTCGAAACTGTATATCGGGGAGACAGGAATGATGACAGACTCACCCAACAACTTCTTCACGCCCATCTTGAGAGAGCGAGATATGAACAACAGAGGTTTGCCGCCCCAGTTTGACGTCCTTGATGGTGAATGTGGCGGGGCCCGTCTGTGTTCTTCGAAGGAAATCGAGATGTAAGGCGAGAATATGGGGTTGGTCTTGGTCGCTGAGGGTGGTTTCGAAGTGCTTTTTCACAGCTTTCTGGCGATCAGTTAGGGTGGTGATGGTTAAGATGAAGTATTTCTACCGATATATGCGGATGATACGTGCGGATTGTACTCACTTGGATTGTTGTCGTGACATAGCCACCGTGAGGAACTGTGCCCAACAAGTACAGTAATCAGCATGTGATCTGTACGAGGACGGGATGGCGCGGTAGGTAGGTTGGTAAGGTAGGTCTGATATTGACATACCGGATCCTATACACCAGTCTTCTGCAAAGTCGGCACTGTAGGTATGGGAATCAACCTGTCGCACTGTCGTGGCTCGTTCCAACGCCATCTCTGCTGTGTCTGTGAGCGACAACACACTAACAACGACGAATATATGCTTGCTGGGATGAATCGTTCATGGACATCTCGTTAACCGATGGTACATGAAGTTTTAGATATTGCCTCGGCACATGTACATAGCTTTCCTTCGCTTCCTCAGCCCTATGAAACCTTCACCACTGTTTCGCCAAAGCAGAGGAAGCAAAAGGCCACACAGACGGAATTCATGAAATCGCAAGAAAGAGACGAATTTTGACAGCAGAAGATCATTTCGCTCGAGGTATCATCATCTATGCAAGCAGCATCTGATTGCCGTCTTGGAAGCCTCAAGAGTACATAACCAGCTTAGAGGGCTGCTCAGGAAGAAATCATCTCACCACGCTCTGGTGCTTTCACATGGTGCTCCATTCCGATATAGTCACCTGTCTTTGCCTTGCCACAAATTTCCCGCCCTCGAGGACTCCAACCAAAGCGCGTCTTGCTCCTGTAGTGTCCCTTGACTGAACATTCAGCCTACTCTATACCCCATTCTGCCTCCACCATAAGCTGGTGTCCGCACTCGGGTGTATTCTCCATGAAGCATGAGTGAGGAATCATGCTATTGATGCTTCTAGCCTCCGGTTCTGAAAAGCCCGAATTGCCAGCTCTCTTGCGCCATCACTCCGTCGCCAGTAGACGTGGAAGCAGTCGAGAAGAGCGTGGGGGTCTATAGAATTTGCCGGACGGACCCATCATGCCGTGAGGTGACGCCGGTGAGGGAGGGAGTAGGCGTCTCGGAAGTGCATTGGCGACGACGGGTGTTGCTGCCGGAGCAGTCGTAGATGTATCAGAGTTGGTATACCTCCTAGGAGGTAGTAAGGTATAGCAGGAGGTGGGGGGGTCACGCAGTCGAAGGTGGCTGACTACCTACATGTACTGGCTGTGGTTGGGCAGAGACACCTGCTCTCCCCCTGGCCAGTCCCAGTGGGACGGAAGCCCAAAGTGGCCAGCCGCCACACGTTACCCCCGGCTTTCTTTGGCTTTATCTTCCTACTACTTCTACCCTTCTACCTACTATATACTACCATACACACTCGCTACACGCTCGCCGCCTACCTCGCCGTTACCGCCGCATCCGTCGCTACCTTACCTCTCTCTTTGTCGCCGGATCCGTTGTCTTAATAATAAGTTACCTATATAATAAAGCCGTCGCTATAGCAACTCGAAGAAAGAATCTACTACTATAATACGTCTACTCTCTCTCCTCTACTACTGTAGACGTAGATAACTATATTATTCGAACCTTAGTACATATAACAGCTAGGCCTAGAGGTATATAGCTCTAGAAGGCGGTTAGGTATTTAAGCCTAAGGAACGTTAGCCTAAGGCAGGACAGGCTATAGAAGCAGTACAATCCGAGTCGTCGGGCGATTAGCTATTAGGCGACCGCCTATATAGCGTAGCGCCTACGTATACTTAGCGTAGAGGTATATTATACGACGCCGCTCTCTCCTTTCCGAAGGATAAGAATTAGTTTGTTCCTTTTCCTATATAGTAGGAAGGACGCTCTATATATTACTATATATACTCTACTCTTATATTTCTAATTCTTCTATCCTTCTAAAGGGTAGTAATCTATAGAGGTCCTATAGCCCTACGATAGTAACGCGACCGCGCCGTAGCTATAGCGTAGGCGGGCTACGTTATCGGCGAAGTAGACGAGGATGCCTAACCTTCCGAGGAGACAGTATCGGGCTCTATAAATACCTAGGCAGACGGGAACCTAGAGGAGACTCCTTTCGAGGAGGCTCCTACCTAGCCGGAGGCCTACGTAGCTAACCCGTATACTAGACGTATATAGCTCGAGGAGGCAAATTAGCGTCTCCGTATAGAGTTAGAAGTTTAGGCCCTTAAGAGGGAAAACTAACGTCTATAGGAGCAAATTTAGGGCCGAGTACTAACCCTAGCTATTATAGTTACTATAGATAACGACGATACCGAGCCCGATCTTCTTAACGGACTCGAGGAAGACCTTAGGTCGACGGACCTACGTAACGTACGCGGACAGGCTACGAACCCGTCGCGTACCTACTCTCTATATAGGGGCTCTAAGATTCGAGAACCTAAGCCGTTTAAAGGAGATACCGATAAGGAATGTTATAACTTTATTAGGCACCTCGAGGTCGTCTTCCTTAGCGCCCTCTAAGAATATCGAACTGACTAAGACAAGGTCCTATATAGTATTATATAGCTCGTAGGCGAAGCGTAGGAGATATAGTACGACGAGTATTCCGATATAATCCCCGAGGACTATACTTAGGAGGAATTTAAGGGATAGCTCCGCAATACCGTCGGCGATTAGTTAAACCGTTAGATCGGCGTAATAATCGAGTATAAAAGGGTACGTTAAGGTCCGGACTAGAGCGTCCGTTATTTTGTAGCGTAGCTTAGTTATCTAGAAGCCTAGTTTAACTATACGCAAGCGTAGCTAATACGCTACTTCCTCGTAAAGTTAAAGCCGTCGCTACGTAGGGATATCGTTAAGGGATATACTATCCCTAATACGCGAGTAGAGCTCGTAAACCTAGTAAGGCGCCTAGAACAAGCAGATAACGCCCTAGTAGTCTATACTAAGGACGAGCCCTATCGGCGCGACTATAGCGCGTAGGGCAAACGCAAGCGTACCGAGAGCGACGTACCGCGAAACTACGATCGATAGGATCGGAGTAAGAGTAGGGCCCTACGCGACGGGCGTACCTTATCGACTATAACGCTGTCGACGGTATATAGGTATAAGAACCTAGAATATTACTCCTATAAGAAGAAGGGATATATCGCAACTGACTCTATATACTCTAACTATGTAAGCCGCGACAAGGCGAATACGGTTCGTAGGGTTACCGTATCTAAAGAGCAAGTGTCGAAAAAAGAGAAGGTATTAGAGGAGAGTCGCAATCTCTAGATACTAATCTTAACGGCGATATACCTTTGCCTATCTAGGTATACTATACTTGTATCCTCGAAGGATAAGTCGAGACGTATAAGAGGCGTATCTCTACTACTATACTACTATTAGGATCTAGACTAGACAGCGATACAGACATCTTAGGACAGACCCGGAATAGCCCGGAAACACCTAAGACGGGCTAGAACGGGTTACCGCGACTTAAGAAGGTTTATGCCAAACCTTTACCGCTAGGGCTGACTTAAGATAGTTTAGGAAGAGTTAGAATAAGAGATCTCAAATCGAGATATTCTAAATTAGACCCGAGAGGCCCGAGACTCCGGGTACTCTAAGAATACACTTATAAACAGAGGGAGAAGACGTATTCCTATCCTTCTCCTAAGCGATTCGAGTAGTACTTTTCTAATAGATACTTTAGCCTATATATCTTATCCTTTTATATACGAATCGCTTCTTTGTCGTATAAGGAAGTATCTCTAAATATAGGTCCAAAGAATACTATACGCTTAGGATCGAGTACCTAGGATTCGGTAGTAACTAGTACCCTAACGGAAGTAGACGTCGCACTTTAGCTAGAAGCCGAAGAAGTAGAGTCTATAAAGGCCTAACAACTCCTTCGAGTAAACTAAGCTAGGGAGGAACGCGCTAAGTTGCTCTAGTAACTTAAATAATCCGACGCGATAATCTAAACTCTAACCGGAGTACTTCTAACCGATAGACTCGACCCTATTCTAGGCTATCCTAGCCTATCGTTAGCCTAATTTATTCCTAAGCTACGGAACCCTTATATATTCGAAGGAAAGAATAGATATAACTAGATCGAATAGCGAGACGACTGCAAACGAATCTTCCGAAGGGCCCTAGCTTACTATATAGACGCCTAGACCAAGATTGAACTCGGAGAAGAATAGATAGCGACCGAACAGAGGTCCTAATAGAACCGGTTTATAGACTTACTCCGATCCTAACCGGCCTATAACGCCCCTTCCTAGTCCGACTTCAAGGAATATATACTTAATTAGGCCTCGTTATAGGTTAGGTTAGGTATAGGTTAGGTACAACCTAACGTTAATACCTAACTCCGCAAATAAGGTAGGTACCTAGCTTATAAGCTAGGTACAACCTAACGGAAAAAACCCAATAGGTATACCTAATAGGTATTGCGATAGGTATTACGTAAAACCTCTTCTAGATATAGAATAAACATAGTAAGCGCTTCTAGAACAGTAATAAGCCTTGTATATACCGTACTACCTGAACTCGCTAACAATAGCTGCCGACTATACCTACCGACTACGAGAATTAGGAAAAAGCAAATTAATTCAGGAGTTTATAGTAAGTACTTCGACATCTCCTTCTATAGCTAATAATACCTGCTGACTATACCTACCGACTACGAAAATTAGAAAAACCAAATTACTTCAGATCTTAGGCTTATAGTAAATGCTTCAATATCTCCTTCTCTAGCCTAGCTAGAACGCGTATCTAGTATTTAAACCGACTTTCGGTTACTATATACTGCTGCCTTACTCTCTAGGCCTTATATATCTCTATTCTTCGCTAGGCCGCTTAGAAAGCCGGCTCTATCCTTATTAATAATAGGGTCCTTAAACAAGTAGCTCTAAGGATAAAGCGAGCTGAAATTTCTGTCTCTAGTCTGTCTCGTTCGGTAATAGGCTCTTCTATAAGTATACTTAGTATCTTATTGATACTTCCCCTAGCTACGAATTCTTACGTATCCCGATTATTCGCTTAATCTATAGCTACCGTATACGCTGCCCTTGCTATATCCTCTAATTCTATTATCTCCTCGTTAAACTCCTACTACGACTCCTCTTCTTTATCCTCTCTCTCTATATCTAGTCGACTCTCCTAGAGAGAATTAGGACCCGTCTCCTCCAAATCTGGATAATCGAAAGGATTGTAGTCTTAGCTAAGCGAGATATCTTGATCCTAGGTACCTATATCCTCGTCGCTATACTGAAAATCTACTTAACTAAGCGGTATACCTAGTTACCTAAAAGGAAAATTTAAATTCTCGGAAGCTATCTCCTCGTCTTCTTCTTCTTAAGTATTAATATAATCGAGGAGAGCCTAGAGATATT